CTTTACTTTATTTTACTGAAAGTGCTTAAAGTAAGGATTTAAGCGTGTTGTAAGTACTAATAACATATTTTTCTATTTATGAATTATAAAAATTATAACATCTCAGGATACACTGGATTACGTTTTTAAGTATTTGGTGTTAAAATGTCTCGGAAACCCCAGAGTTCAAAAGATGCTGTAATTGGTTTTGCATGAAGTTATCATGTATCATAAGTAATCACTTTACAAGGCAGTATAGTCAATGCTTTAAACACTTCAAACACGCTGCTTTAAGTAGTTATGAATGCTTATAATCTTAAAAGGGGAATTGCTATTTTGTTTCAAGGCTTTTTATGTGCTTACAATGCATTAGGGGTGGGTTAAAAAAAGTTTGACTCTTTTTTTTCTTAAAAAATAAACAAAATTGTGTAATATATTCTGTTAACCTAGCACACTATGTTAGGATTTATTTTGTTTAATATTGTAGAATTTTCTCATTTTTACATGTGTTACATCCTGTATGTGGCTCCCTAAATGCTCCCTAAACAATAAATGAAATTGTTTTAATTGAGTTGAAATTAATGACAGACTTAAACATATTTATTTTCCATGACAGACTTCATGAGCAGTTTCTGGCCCTTTCCAAGCTCTACTATGTGAACACAACAGACCCAAAACACTTAAGTGACTGAGTTTTGTGATCCTGATTCTTGTCCTGGTATATTCTGAAATTAATAATGCAGATGAGAGAAGGAAGTTTCCAAACTACTAAACCTCAGAAGGTCATTGTGGTACATGAAAATTTGGCATTTTTATTGCTGAGCTAAGTAAGAAAAAAACAAACAAGGATGAAGAACAAACATCATGCTTCATTTGCTGATGTCTTCCTTCCTGGTCGCCTGGAGGCTCCTCTCACTGCTTTAGACGGGACGCAGATTGGCATAAACAGCTCTGAAGAGTAACAAAGCCTGTTATGCATTCCTCGGTCTGGTGTTGACGGTTGTCCATGCTCCTGCCACACTCCGCTGACTGCAAAATTGGACCATGAACTGAAAAATTGCTTTGGGTACAGAGGAGTGTGTAAGGGGAGAAAAAGGGACTTGAGAGTTTGCGTGTGGTCGGCTGTTTTATTCAAACCAGAACCAAATTGGTGGGGAGATATGACGGCTTGTGTTGTTTACAAATCTTTGTCAATTTGTTAAGCTCAAAAGGAGCCTGTCAACACGCCACAGCTCCTCTGGCAGCTGAAATCTCTCTGACAGGAATTTGGGCTGGACGAGCGGCTCACATAAGGAAGATGTGTAAATCTTTGAGAGCAGGTTCAGCTTTCAGCTCTGCTTCTGCACCTTAAACACTGTTGAAGTCTATGTTTTGATTTTAGTAGTAATGGCATTTTATTCAGTTATCATGGGAAATACTTTTTTCTTTCCCAGTCCACATGTTTAAGACGCTTAGAGGGCTCCGCTCAAACAAGTGGCTGCTGGAAGAAAGTGACTGGTTTGTGTCTAGTCTCTTTGCTAAAGTTAAAAAAGATGTTTGGTGGCTAGTACACTGGCTAGGACCCTATATGTACTGTTGATCATAGTTAGGTGCTGTTCTGAGCATTATTTGTGGCTATAGAGTGGGTCTTTGGTGGAGCACATGGCTCTCTGTACTGCTATTTGTGTTCGTTACTAAAGTTGGTCTAACTAGAGGAGCAAGCGGTCGGCAACATTCATCTCTCGACGGGGTTTGTCTAACTCTGTGTTACGGTGTGTTTGACCCTAACTTAAATTTATGCTGGAATATCCCTTTAAGCTTTTTCTACTGTGGACTTATGATTATGATTCCCCCAAACTGGAAAAAAAGAAAAGAAAAAGAAAACTTTTGTACAGTCTGGAAGAAGTGACTTTGATTTGGCTCCAAACATGACTTGCTTTATTTCGTAGTTAAGTAAGTCATGAAAGTTCATGACATGGAAATTAAGAGATAGTGGGTCATAGTGAGCATCATTAGGGATTATGTGCATAGCTTGTTTTTGCAGAATGGCTTATGATTTTAGAATTGTTTTATAAGTAGATCTCTGCAGTTAAAGGTTTATTAGTTTATGAAGTTTACCAAGGCTCTGCCTGATTCAGGTCCAAAGTAGCAGGACATCAGGGAACATGTTCAGACACTCCCAGAAAAGACTGTGGTAAGTTCCTCATCGCAGCTTAAGTCCTTAAAGTTGCTTGTATGGTTCTGAGCCACGATTCTTTGTAACATGCCTTCCCTTACTTTTGCTCCTCATTCTGACTATTTTTCCTGCATACATTACAGCCTCTTTGTGCCTTATTGGTTAATAAAACACAGACAACAAACATACCACAAACACCATAAAGTCCAGACCCCCAACTACTAATTCTATCTTGGTAATTGTGGACCCAATATGCACAGAAACCAGTTTAATCCAGCTCAGCTCATCAATATTTTTGGCAAACACCATCTGTAAACTGTCTTTGGTGAGTCTGACACATTTTCCCAGTCTTAATTTATTTCCCTCAAAAGTGAAAATAATCAAATCGGAGTGATGAATGCAGTGAATGACTTTTTCAGTGTTAAAGCTGCTTTTTGCATATAAAATGTGTTTCCTCCTCAGTAACATAGTAATGAGTTGCAAGAAAAATGCGCGCTCTGTGCAGCAGAGGAGAAGTGGGACAACTGATGGAGCTTTAGGAAGTCATTACTTATTTACTTATTAATGGAATCTGAAATGAGACTTTTAAAATAACTCAAATGTGATTAATGGTGTTAATTCAGTCTGCAGGCTAAGCCGGGCGATCAATAACATTTATAGCAGAAGTGGGCCGACTGAGAGGGCGATACCGTCAGCAATTTTTATACACTTTGCAAGATTGTGTGTTCTCTGAATGATCTATTCACAAGTATTTATTGTAGAATTGATGAAACATTAGTATTCTCTCAGACTGATAACATCAGGAAGATGGGAGGAGAGGCTGTTGAGGAAGTCTGCTGATGATCCATAATTGATGGCAATACTGAGGATTAAATCAGTGAGGACGGCCTTTGAGAAGGTTTCGACCAGGCGATCAATTCCCCCCCAAAGAACCTGTCTATGTAGTGTTGCGCTGGAGAATCAACACTGAAGCCATAAGTTTCTTTTTTTAATGGCAGGGAAAGCAGCTATTAGAGAGAGGGGAATTCTTACCCATTCATCTTTTATTATGACCCCACAGAGTCATTGATGTAATCTAGTGTTTTATTACGGTTGTTTTTATTACTGTTGTTTTTATGTCATTTTATGTATTATTCCTTAAATTTCATTCTATGCTACTTTGTTTTTAGATTTTAACCTAACCTCCAGTGTTTCCTTATCTTGAATTTTAAAGTGACGTTTCCTCAGTGCGCACATTCCTGTTTCCACGAAATCAAGCCCTTTATAATGTTAATGTTAATTTTAATACTGTTTCTGTTGCATTTAGATCGTGGGGTTAGAATGAGGGGTTGGGTTGGGGTAGATTCGGGTATTCTTTGTTTCTTTTTTTCCTTTATCCATGTAAAGTACTTTGTGCCACATGGTCGTGTATGAAAAGTGCTGTATTAATAAAGACTGGTTGATTAATTGATTGATGGTACAGAACTTTCTCCAGCTTAACCAGGACAAAACTGAGGTTTTAGTCATCAGTCCTGAGGCCCAGAGAGAGAAACCTTTATCCAAACTACAAGCACTGTCTTCTAATCGTCACTTTTGACTCTGAGCTGACTTTTAGTCCACAAATTAAGAACATAAGAAAAATAGGTTTTTATCACCTGAAGAACATTGCCAGAGTCCGCTCCATTCTCTTTCTACTATTGTAATGCCCTGCTTTCTGGTCTTCCCAAAAAGATTATCTCAGGTTTACAATTATTACAAAATTCAGCAGCACGTGTCCTGACTAAGACCAGGAGGCTGGCCCACGTTACACCGGTTTTAGAATCTTGCGCTCCTTTGGCGGCAGGCTCCTAGTCATTCCAAAAGTCAGGGCACACACTGACACAGACATGGCGAGGCGTGTTTTCAATATCACGGCCCTCGTCTATGGAATAGCCTGCCAGAGGACCTAAGAGAACGTTCATGTTTTTAAGAGCAGGCTCAAGACCCACCTTTTTAGCTTAGCTTTGAATTGATAATTATTTGTTTTATCTTCATTTATTCTAGTTAGCCTAGGTTTATTTTAGGTCTGTGTTTTATTCATGTTTTAGTTTTTACCTTTGTTTATCCTTTTGTCATTTTTAGGACCCCCAGTGTTTCCTCTGTGGTCGCTTGTGGTTGCTTGTGGTTGCAGGGGCCGGCCACAGGGTTCCTAGTGGAGGTTAGCGTCTAAAAAGGTGAGTGAACACAGTGAACAAAGTATTTATTTCATTACATTGAATTATTAAAATCTAGGAGAAAAAAAGATGTGGACCAAAATTAGACAAAGATAAAAACCAAGTTCTTCTGATTTAATCTTGACGAAAACTAAAACTGTGATTAGTTTAGTGCTGAGGTTTTTAGGCCACATTGTGAGCACATGGCTTAGAAACCGTACGATAAACAGCAAAAACACACTGAAGGGGTCTTTTGGGATGGATTTAGTCTGTTTCCTGTGTGTTGTCCAGTGAATTTATTAGATTTGTGTGGAAACATTGATTTCTCCTGTCCTGCCTTTGAGCCTTCTGTGTTCCACAGTTATTTTAGGGAGATGAAATGTAAACCAGACCTAAGATCAGCAAGAAGAAAGCGCTGTGCCTCTGTTTCCATGGTAACCAGAAGCTTTGAACGTGCATTTATTAAGACACATTGATAAACTTGCTCGAGGCTTTTTCTTGGACTTAACTGAATTACAGAGTGCATTAAGAGTTTGTTATGCGTGTACCATGGTTCCTCTCGGCTTAGATAAAACGTAGCCCAAATATTGGAAATTTCCCATGATGCACGGTTGGTTGAGCATCAAGATAAAACGCCTCCAAGCAGTCAGTCCTGATAAAGAAGCTAAATAATTAAGGAGTAAAGTAGCAGAGATATGGAGTGTCAGACAAAAGTGTATTACATTGTTGCTGTAGTGGTCTTACATCAACTCAGAGACCATCGAGTGATAGACCTGCACCTGAAGGACCACCTGCTGGAGTTCAAGCTCTGGCCAGCAAATGCAACACTCCTGGTGGGCATGGACAGAGAGTTCATACAGGCCCATGAAGAGGGAGAGATGAAAGACAAGCAGGGAGAGTTTTCTACAGGGATGCCAGAACAGGAGAAAGGAGGAGGTACCTGAAAGGTCGAGGAGGCCCCAGCTGCTTGTTCCCCAGCAGCTCTGAACAAGACAAGGCCACAGGGATCACGCTGATCTGTCTCCAGTGTTTCAGACCGAGTGTGTGTGATTTTATTTGAGAGTGAGAGGGCTGTTTTACTCGTGGCAATTAGGAGAAATAAAAGAGCTGACAGAGCCAGCCGTCATCTCTGTGGAGAAAGGCAAACAACAATCTGAATACACGCATGATGATGTACCAGAGTACACTCTGCACACAGAGGAGGGGCTATTTGCAGACAATCTTTGTATGCAGTTTAATGCAATATATTCAGGTACAAGAACACATCTCTGTATCTAGCTTGTAAACATGTCCTGGCTGCACACAAAGTGACATTTATGGAGCCCTTGAAGTCGATAGTTTTTGCCTCATCCACACAAGTGAGTTACTTATTGCAGGCAAGATGAATATTATCACCTTGCAGGACAGTGGCTTACAAATTTAAAACAACATTTTTCATAAGGACAAATGTGCTGCAAATTCAAAAATGTTTATTCATTAACACCTGAAAAAGTCGAATGATACATGCATGCAAGGAAATATGCTGGGGATGAAAAATAGCAGCAAAACAAACAACAAAACAACAACAAACAAATGCATCAACAGCAAATTAACACTTAGAACTCCGCCGATCCCGCGTGACACCATTAATATTGTTTACAGTTTCTCGGGAACTATATCAGGTATCTCTATGGGATAAAAAGTATTCAAAAGCTTACCCTTTTGGCAATCTATCAGGGGTTTTCAGACATTTCTACACCTCGCACAAAGTTGACAATCCAGCCACAAAATAGGTGTTTGATCAGAGACGTTCAATGGTAAATCTGCGGCGATATACCCGTGAAAACATGATAATTTATCATATATTTATCATAAAAAAGATCGCTATCGCTAAATGCCACTTATATCTTTCAGGTTTGACGAGCTGTTTGGATGACATCTTTTTCTGTCAAACTTTCGACCAATTACATGGTCTCATATTCTTCTTCTATCGTTCCCTTGACGGTAGTGTCCAGTAAGAGGCAACCAAAGATCAACAAGAGACAAGAAAGTTCCCTGCTTGTCTGCAGAATAAGAAATAATGGTCCTCAATGCTTGAAAACAAGCAAAGAAGAGATTATAAGTAGTGTGATGTGGTCTTCTGTCTCATCCCAGACAGTAACTGCTTCAAGGAGTGGCATTAACAACTGTAAATAGGAAGAATTAGTGTAAATATATAAATAGTTTCTGTTGTGTGTTTGTTCCAATCCAAAAATTTATTCTCCTGATAGCTAAGACTTAACAGAATGGTGTGCAAGTGAGAAAAGGCTTGGTCACTGTAGATTTATGTGTTTTTTTGTGCAAAGTTCTGTTGGTATGAATTTGATGGTTCTGAATCTACTGTCACATTCATTTTACATAATGTTTGCACCTGTAGACTGACAGCTGAGGTTGCCCGGAAAAAAAAAAAAGGTGTATAAATTTGCAGTGCTTGAAAGGATAGAGTTGCTACATAGATTTTGACACAAAAAAAAAACCAGGAAGAACAAAAATAGCTACTTATAGCTGGGAGTTCTAAGGGTTAATATATAAACGGGGTAAAGTCCAAAATGTACAAAAAACTGGACAAAAGCAGGCCTGGAGGGAGGTAAGAGGCTCAGTGAAGCAGCTGTCATTAAGGGAGAATGAAGACCATGCACTGAATTTATGTGTGAGGAGATCAAACTAAAGGCATTTCCAAAAATGTCCCCTGCACTCTTCTGCTCCATATGCATGCTTGCACAGACTGTCTGCTACATTGAAAGCCCTTCAAACCCTCAGAGAGTGGAGTGGGATCAGTTTGTTAGACCAAGCACTCACAGACTGCCATTTCAAGGCAGGGTATACAAACCCCTGTTGCGCCTTGTCTGTGATGTGTAATGCACGGAGGTGTAATGGTTGGGTGAAGTCCTTTATATTTCTAACCTTCCTCGGAGGATTGACAAGGGCAGAACAGAACAGTGCAGAGTTTACCTGCATGTCCGACACCGGATGCGTGTGTGTGGCCTGTTTCAGTTTTGCTAACACCCTTGTCCAGTGGCAGTGCATAAGAAGTGTGTTTGTGGTGAAACTCAGCCTCAGTATACAGAAAACAACATATCAACAGGTCAGCTTTGCTTTCCATGGTCAGTTAACTCTTATTCAGATCATTTTCTGTGAATGTTGAGCTTCTATCACTGGTGAGCATGCAGCATGCTTTCTGAAGTTTAGTATTTTTTGCGAATTTCTTACTGTGTTCATCTTTATTATGCTGTTTTCTACAGATAAAGTTAGAGACTCAAAGTCCTGTTGGGGTTGTTAATAGAAAGGCAGTGTGGTTGTTTTGTGATAACAGTATATCCATGATCAGTGAGTATTTTATCATTTATAAGATCTGATTCATGTCCAGGAGTCAGTATATGGTGTCTTACTGTTCAGCTCGACACGTGCAGGGTGCAGGCTGTATTAAAAAGAGACTCATATCTTGATGTATTGTATACCTTGGGTGGAGCGGAGCAGGATGACGCTCCTGAGCTGAGAAGTGCGGTGGGCCTCCCGGTCACAACACAAGTACTGACATTGAGAACAGGCGGTTATCACCTCCAGAGAGTGTGGCATTGATGGAACGCGGTGCACAAGCGTCCTGTGGGTTTTGAGGTGAATGTGTAAGAAGAGCTCCTGCTGTCTGTGTCAAAGCGCTTCTGCAACAACATAGGGGAATGTAGCAATGCTGTTCAACACTATTGCAGTATTGACTTATTTTTGAATGTTTAGTTTTCTCTTTCATGGGTTTCATGGTTTGTTTTTTTGTGACATGTTTGCTTGTCAGGGACAAATCCCAAAAAAGAAAGAAAAATATTTTTTAGCGGAAAAAACAGAAGACATTTTTAATTTATTTTATTTGTCTTTCCAAGGACAGGAATTAAAGTTCCTCTCAGACTGATGGAAACGTGGCTGCCAGTTTGCAAGGTGGGTTAAGTGTCTTGCCCAAGGTTCTGTTATCAGTGGTCTTTAAATTGTGATTATGAAGTTTTTAGCCAAAACCACGTTACCTGTGTGATTTTTATGAACTTTTCTTCTGCAGAGCTCCAGCAGGTGAGCAGCGATTCGCCTCTGAGTCGTGGACAGTGCTGCTCTGCACACTCCTCTAAATGCTACCTTGTAGGCTGACATTGCTGGTGCAGCTGAAGAAGCAGGTAACACAACTACCTGTGTACTCGTGTTACCTGCTACACGATTACAGGTAACACACTGAACACTGAACAAGTTACATTTCTGACAAATATAATTCCATTACAGTAAAATGTTATTTAGTAATGCTGAACCCCAAACACTGATTACAGGTATAAATCAGCCCACACAAACCAGTGCACTTTATATTCTGGATTTTATGGTAAATACATCTTTAAACATACATAAAAGGGTAAAAAGTGAGTCAAAATAAACCCTAAAACTAAAATCAAACCAGAGACTGTTGGAAAAGAAAAATCTCTGTCTTACATATTGGGGTCTCACGAATTGAACTGTTCACCAAAAACTTTTCTAACACTATCCTCTCAAACACTTTTTGTTTCCAAGGTCATTCATGTTAGAGAATAAGAGGTGCATTTTTAATTTAAAAACTACATCTACTTTCATTGGTAGCAGCTCACAGAAGGAAAATTTCTCATTGGAGTAGAGTCAGAGGTTGAAGACACTGAGGCAGTGCTTGCTGCTCATGAGCACAAAAAGAGAGAAAAAAAAACACACATAGAAAGGCTTTTATTCTGTTGAAAGGGAAGCTCTTTCTGGTGCATAAAAGACTGAAAACACACACACACACACACACCTGTTAGCTTTGTCATCCAGCCTGAGTGTGTATTGATCGGAAGCAGGGTGGTTCTGCTCCACACAAATAGATAGCAAAGCATTGATTTTGTGCCTTTAGTTTGATGGAGCAATGTACATAAGAGAGAGCTGAGGAAGGAAGGTGTTCAAAGTGGAAGAGGAACTTGATCGGCGACAGGTGATAGTATCTAGTATCTAGTATCTGGACTGTTGCTGTGATGCTGTGAACATGGCGCACACTTACTGGGGCTTTATATGTGCAGTGAGTAGCAGGCTTTGTGATCTTACAGCACAGGAAGTCGCTTTTTCTTGGTTTGGTCTTAACAATGACCAACCAATGTCAAACACTATCTGTTATAATACGGTTCAATATCCTAATCCTAACACTCTTTTGTGCTACCTTTGTAGACAGAGTAAGGAAACCATTAAAAAACATGCTGCTGAAAACACTGACCATGTAGACACTTGGTGTGGTGCCACTTTAAAGTGAACTGGTTCAGCGTTCAAACCCCAGAGAAGAGCTTTCCAGGAAATGCTTTACTCAAATTGCAGTCTGAACCAAGGGGCAACCTCCAGTCATGAGAAATGAAACTGATGCTGAAGCACTAAAACTCGTACACCAGAAACCACAGACAAAACCCATATTTAGAGTCAAAATAAATACATTTCCAGCCTGGCTAAAAAAGGCACTTGGTCTGAGAAGCTCAGGGATACCATGACACCAGCTGTACAGAGTGGCTTTTTTTGTTATGCGCTTATTTTGAAGACACTGAAGTAACAAGATCAGCGAATTGAAGGTAACCATTTACAAAAAAAGGTTAAGGCCCGCCTCTGGTGAGTTGACCATGTAAGGTTAAAACTACATTTACACGTGCCCAGCTATCTTCATAAACTGACATTTCACCCTCTCTGTTTACAAAAAAAAAATGTATGCACACTGCTACAACTACGTTTTCAGAAAAGTTTTCGTTTACACCAACCCGTGTGTATATGCCATCAAGAGCATGCCAAACCTGTAGGTGGCAGTGTAGCCAGAAGCTCAAGCCCATGTAAGCCAATCAGAATCCTGCATAGCAGCAGCAACAACAACAACGTCACTTCTTTCTTTTAGAAAAGATGCAGATGCAAGCAAATATAAAGAAACTGCACCTAAATGCAACTTCTATTCTGCATGCATCCATGATCACCATAAATTGTAAACAACGACGCATGCAACCAAGTTTCTGGCGCACAATCTGCTGTCGGCTACCCAAATCTCTGTTTCTAAAATGAAGGGCGCAAACGATGGTTAATGTCTCCATTTTTAAAAATAACCGGGTACGTAGAAACGGTGCCTAAGTCAGAATTTTCAACATGGTGATTTTTGCTGATAGGCTTCACAACTTTGCTTCAGAAACAGATAAATACGACCAACACTACTTCCATGTATCATACAATGTTTTCCAAGCCCAGCTTTTGAGAAACTGCAATAAAATGGTGAAACTAGAGGACTATAAAGAACCAAGACCAAACAAGCTCATGGACTTGGGTGTTAGTGAAGACACTTTAGAGGGAAGTGGTTCAGTCCTGAAATCGAGAACACATACTCCCCATGTGAGGCAGTGAAACACTCTCCCTACAGTGCAGTTGGAGCAAAACAGAAAAAAAAATGGTGAAATAGACAGACTTTAAGAGGGAAATGTGAGCCAACAGGTCTGTGGTGCGGTGATTAACCCTTGTGCTTCTTGGTAAAATGGTTCTGGGTTTGAATCCCAGCTCGGGACTTTCCACCTGAGGTTAATGTGTAATGTTTTCCTCACCCTTCTGTCAGAGATGTGTTTTTGGGCAAACATGAAGAAAAAAATACCTCAAAGGGCAAGCAGACGGTCCTGTGGTGCAGTGGTTAGTGCAGCCACCTTAAGTGAAATGGTCCTTGGTTCAAATCCAGGGCCGTGACAGTGTTAAGTAGAGGCAAGGTAAAAAAGAAAAAGGTATAAGGCAGTGAAGAGTAAAAGAAGTAAGCAGGCGATGAAAACAAAAAAGAAAAAAAGAGAACTCTCCACCCCAGAGAGGGCAGTAAGGATAGACATATCGTGTCTGTGCTCCCTGAATGTTCTGCACATGTTCACGTTTTTTTTCAAGCAGTCCATGTTTCCTGAACCCTGCTGGGCTGACATTAAAGCTCATTGCCTCCTACGGTGTGAAACATTCATTCAGACTCACATCATTGAAATCTGAAGTCTGTTTCATGAAGTTCCAGTTCTGCAGGTTGATTAAAACTTGATTCAAATTGCTTCTGAATGTGATGTTTGAAGATCAGTTGTTTTTAATTTGTGGTTTGATCAACTCGGTGTCTATTTGCTTCCTTTCCTGATGGCAACATTAACTCTGACGGCGCTGCAGTTACGCTTTTCCCCAGGTAATCAAAGTCGGATAGAAAAGATTAAAAGAGATTGCTCAGGAAACGATATGAGAGGAAAATGATAAATTGTCCCTGAACCCAAACAGGAATCTGTCAGTAGTGGTTCTGTCAGGAGAGGGTTCAACAGATTAGAGTTCAGGCGCTCTTGACTTCAGTCCAACCAGCAGATCGAGTTCCCGCAGACGCAGGGAAACAGATACAAATGTGTTTGACATTTTGTCAGTTATTGATTGGGGATTACAACTGCAGGGCAGGAAATAGAGTCTGTGAGGGGTCTGTGGTGGGAGGTGGAGGTGAGACCTTCACCACAGGAGCGAATGATGTCACAGGATTTCACCCCACAGAGCAGGCTGCTGCACGCAATTATAGGCTGATCATGACAGAAGTGACTAATTCTGATCCACACGGGAAACCTCATTTATTCTTCTTAGTACATGTGAAAGGGATTCAGTCTTTAAAAAATGCATGGCAATAACATACGTTTTGAAATAACAATAATTAACTTGGATTAGCCATAAACAAAGCAAGATTAAGATGTTTTGGTCTTGTTTTAATAAGGAATATTCAATATTCATCAGCCTCTATGAAATAATTACAATTATCTGAATTATGATATCTGTACATATAAAGCATAATGATAGAACACATGGCATTATGTTACGCAAAGAGCCTGCAATTATTTGCATGCATCAAGTTTGCAGGGACAGATAAAAAATGTATATTTAACACCGAATGTATATATTATTTTATCATTCAATGCTGAGATCAGACTACATAATACCATCGTGGTTGTGGCCTCATCCAGCAAGCATATATTCAACTTTAGGGACCTGCTGTACCCAGAAAATATAGTTCTATCATGTAATGTGTCCATACCTTAACTAAGAGTCCAGCATGTTTGATTTTTCACTTCTGCTTTCGACAATGTGCTGCGATCATAGACCCCATAACTCGAACAAAGTATAGTGTCATAAAGCTTCCCCAGGTGTTAACAGAGAGGAAAGAGACTTATCAAACTCAAATCGGGTTTCTGTCAGTGTAGACCTTTCTTTATATGCTAATTTGTGTTCAACTGGTCATTTTGCAGACTGGTTTCTTTTTAGGGGCCATGTCCCAGAGATGAGGACTTGAGTTTGAGACTTGAACTCCAGTTGCACTTCAGTTGCGCATGAATGTGACTTCAGGCTTGATTCAAACTTGACCCTCTTTGGACTTTAGACCCGATTGGGACTCATGGACTTATTTGCATCTTGTTTCAGTGACATCAGGTCATTATCATTCCCTCTTTTCACACATTAAATACAGCTCCTGGTTTGAGAGCGGCCGCGTCATTTCACCCACTGAGACCATAGCTACTAACCCCCAATTTCCACCGCCTACTTAACTGCCCGGATATCGCCCTACTCCGCAGCTGATCGCAGGAGTTCTATTTTTTCCGGACGCAGGAGCATGCTGGATAAATTCAGCATCGAGTAACCTGTGCTGGAAAGGAAGTCAGGCACAAACACAAAATAAAACATCCGGCTTATTTTCAAAATAAAACTTTGTGTTTCAGCCAGATTGTATTTCACACCATGCAAATGGGCGGAGACGAACAAGTGAAGGTTTAAAGACAGCATCCCGATGACACCATGGATGAGAGGATGCTGATTTTATAAGTCTAAAAGTAGATTTCCTCCTTTGGAAGGGCACAATCTATTTTTCATACGGTTAGCATATGTGGCTAAGAGACAACTCGTTATCGAGTGATTGCACATGAATCCACGGGTTCTTGTGAGTTCTCGTTATTACTGCTGTCCATAATCCGCAGCGAAATTCGTCTCACAAACTGATCCAGTAGGAACTGGTTTATGGGAAAAATCGCTTCCGTTCCCGATCGGAGCTGTTCCGGATGCTGTGGAAATCCAGGATAAGGTTGCTCAAGCAGAAGCACTGTACAGTTTAATTAATTTTTCATCTGTTTGAGACCACTATCCAGGGTCAATAATCACTGTTGGCTCCTCCTCCTTCATTTGTTGTAAACAGCACTTGCTGAGAGACACAGTAAGTCCCTCCTTTTTAATGTAGACTGATGTTCAACATTTTAAACACAAACCTTCTCATGGTGCTGTTTTGCACAGCTGGTTGCTGTTGCTTTCACACTATGGTTGGCTATTTGCCCTATCATAGATGTGACATATTTTGCTATCAGCCTATCAACTATCTGCGACTAAAAGCGTTGTGTGCTGCTCTCTTGAAATCCTAGAAAAGGCAGGGTTTCCCCGAGGATAACCTGCATTTTTTATCAACACTTCTGTCTGACAGTTAATCCAACAAGGCTGATGTCTTTGAACTCATCACAAGCGGAAAAAAATGGTTTGACTTTTTTCAGTTCAGGATGACATTTAACTTAAAGCTCCAGTGACGATTTTTAACTCATCATGAAACAGACTGGAAATGAATACTGACACCTTTTATGACCTCCGGAAGCAAACAAGGCCATCAGTGAGAAGATTAATAATTTCTGTACATGAATCTTCAATGCTTGTAACCACTGCTGCAGGGTGGATGTCAAACAAAATGAGTAATGGCACATTGAGGAAACAGTCTGTTTTAATTTTGTATGGCAGATATTAATAGTGACAGCTGATGAGACCTTTTTATGATATAATCTACAATTATGTGTACAGGGCAAAATCAACAAAGACATTTAAAAGCATCACTTTGTCCTTAGGGGGCGCAAAAGCAAACATTCCTCCACAAACTGCTTTTCATGCAAGCTTTGACTCTGGTTTATATTGTTCATATCATAGATTTAAAGTATAATTAATCCGAATTGAAGATTTCACAGCCCTCATTTTATTAAACCACTTGTTGCAGATCAGACCTCAAACTTGATGCAAAATGAACATCTGACGATCAACTTTGTGTCTTTGATATTGTATTACTCATAAGAAAAGATTTGACCCATCAGCTGTGGAGACGATGATGACAAATCCTGAAAATGTGTGTTTGTACTTTAGGGTGTTGATAGCATCTGTGCAAAATCAGTTTTATTCACATTATTTACTGTGAAAGAACTTGCAGACACTGTAGTGAATAAAAATCTGTGAGTCACAATTCTGCATATATTACTCAGTGTGTTTGTATAAATTAAACCAAACTACAAATAATTTATCACACTATAAATGTGATTTTTTTTAAACAACATTTTTGCACAGCACATTAATAAACCAGAGAACGGGCACTGTGCACAAGCTCATTACACAATGTGTGCTGCCAGAACAAACTAAAGTATTCCTTAATGTGCGGGGGAACTGCATCTTATTTCCATTAACTACAGTACAGTATATTCAGGGAAAAAGATCATGAATAACTAGGTATAATGAGGACTATATGAGTTTATGTAAAACATATGATAATGAGTTAGGGCTGAGCACTCAAGGGGGGAAGAACAGGAAAAGGGAGTAGGACAAACAAGAGATACGATGGTTTCATATTTAGTCCCAGGACACAGAATCTGTGTTAATCTTTTCTTACTAACATCTTTGGTGAGACCCTCAAGTTGACAGAGTGACTCAACCAGAGATTCACCCAGACCTCCGACTTTTTCAATTAGTTAGTTTGAAGGTCAGAGCCAGAGTTATTACTCTTCCTAACAGATGCCATTACAGCCTGTTTGAATGAACATGTCATTAAACAGTCTGATACTCTTTATGGAAATCATGATATTTAATATTCAAAACGATAAACTGTATTGTCTTTAGCAAATATTCACTCAGTTTGAATCTGAGGACATGAATTATTAAAGCTTTAGAGTTGAATTCTTTTCCATTCTTGCTTGATGCACCACTTCAGTTGTCCAACAGTCCGGGGTCTCCATTGTGGTATTTTGTGCTTTGTAATCCTCCACACATCTTCAGTGGGAAACAGGTCTGGACTGCTGGCAGGCTGGTCTAGTTGCTGCACTCTTTTCCTATGAAGACACGCTATTGTGACATATGCTGAATGTGTCTTGGCATTGCCTTGGTGAAATAAGCAAGGACATCCCTTGTCACGTGGAACAATGACAATACAGAGGAAAACACAGGCATAGTCGTAAAAATGCAGTAATGGTGATAGGAGAAGAAAATGCCAACAAGGCAAGAGTTCTTACTCAAAAAATTTAACAAGTGTGTGCGTTTGTGTGTGTGTGGCTCCGTGCGTTGCCTGCAGTCAGTGAAAATGTCACTCCGTCACTTCGTCAACCCCCTCTAGGAGGTTGTTGATGTGGAGCAACCTTGAAAGGTAATCAGAAACCACATTAGCCTTCCATGATTGGTGTGGCGAGGAGGAACACAGGTGGGCAGGTAACTGGGTTTCTCAGGTCCTTGCTGGTGAGTGGGGCTGCAATGGTCAAAAACTGCGGCACAAACCTCCTGTACCAGCCAACCAACCTGAAGGATTGTACCTCATTTTGAGTGCAAGGTTGAGGACAGTTTTGGATAGCTTCCACCCTGTCCACTTGTGGTCGCACCTCTGCCTGGCCCAGTTGGTACCTCACGGATCTTGTCTCTTGCCCACTCATACTTGCAAAGGTTGAGGGTCAGCCCAGCTGCTGGATTTTTCCAAAGACTAATGCCAGGTGTTGGTGTTGCTGAAGACCACCACATCATCTAGGTATGCAGCACTGCAAACAGCAGGAATGGCAGCCAGTGATCTCAATCCATCCCTGTGCCATTCACAAACTTACAGAGCATCCACTTCAAGGTCTGGTTAAACCTCTCTACCAGGACTCAGTCTGTGGGTGGTAAGGAGTGGTCCTGATTGCTCTGCCATCTACAGGAGCTGCATCAACCTGGAGGTAAAGTTGGTTCTTTGGTCTGTGAGGATCTTGTCTGGTACCCCCACCCTGGAGAAGAGCTGTACCATGGCACGCACCACAGCAGGCACAGTGATGGTACATTGGGGAAAAGCCTCAGGGAAGCGGGTAGCATAGTCATCATACATGATAACTCCTGATGACCACCACTACTTCTCACCAGGAGCCGAACAATGTTCATGGCAACTCTGCGGAAAGGTGTGGAAATGACAGGAGGGCGACAGATAACCTTACTGACATCAAATTAAAAAATAAATGGATATTTGTCGTTACAAACCAAGTTTATGAGTTTAAACATTGAATATCTTTTTATACATTCAACTGAGTATTGGTGGAGATTTTATTTTTTGAAATTGGGGTTTGTATTTTTGTTAAAACCAGTGATTTATTGGGCTAGGATATATATTTTGTGTTTTTGTTTAGTGTAAGACATTTGTATACTCTACCAAAGTAATTAACTGATAATTTAGAGGTCTATCTAGATGGTTTGTTTTGAACATATTTCTGCATAATCCTTTCTATTCCTTGGGGGAAATGACACTAACTTCTAAGCAATGTACCTTACATCTACAAATATGGCTTTTTCGTTAAGGAAGATTTCACCAGTTTCTGTTTGGCTGTGGTGCGGTAAATAGCTATAAAAAAATCACATCAGGTGTATAGCTTGAGTTAACTCTGAAGTTATCAATTGGGTGTGAATTTTAAATGCCCTGAGATGCCACAAATATGAGGCATTTAGGGAAAGAATTATGGACCTTACCGATTTCTCAATCGCTGTGGAGGCTCTGGTTAAATCTTACATTAACACTTAATGATCACTCAGCTCTGATTTAAGGCTTAGATCTTTGCCTCAAAACTTGCCTGGGAACGGTCAGTATCCATGCACTCAGCAGCAGTGGTGTTTCAAGCAGCAGCAGCAGCAGATACTCATTTGTTATCTCACATGAACAGGTAACCTCTGCCCTATTTGGTTTAATCTGCATGAACCACGAGATAGAGACAAGAATCTTTTCATCTCAGCAGAAAATGGACAGCTTCATATTTCCAGCATCTTATCATAGAAGACATGGACAGAGTAATAAGAAAAAAAAGGGGTTTGGGGCTGAAACAGAAACAGAAAACTCTCCAGGGAGACATTTTCTCCACCAATGCCAAGAGCCGGGAAGCAGGCGTTCCTTCACAGCTGGAAAGAAGCATAATTGGTCATTTTCACAATCATTTTAATTATTAAACATGATTTCCGCCCCAAAAGAGATAATATCAGCCTCTTAAAGACAAGAGTGAAATCCAATTTTCCCCCGGTCCACAGGGAGAGGGAGGATAAGCCAAGATGCACACATTGTTATTAAAAGTCGAGCTGGCCTCATTTCGGCTCACGCTGAACTCGGGGATGGCAGAGATGCACACTGTTACGGCCTTGTTGTCGTTTGTCATTGGCAGCGCTCTCAGGGGGAAATTGGGTTGAGAGGACCTCTGCTTTATAGTCACATCCATCGCTGCAGTCATTGTTATGGGGCTTCACTGTTGCATTGTATTGTTTTTCTGTCAACAGAAAAATATCAAGTATTTCTGTTTTTCTCACAGATGTAGTTTTCTTTTCTTTTCTGTCTATGAAAAATACTCAATAGCGGGGGAGAAAAACCTGCTCCTGCAGTACTTTTTAATGGGGAATTCTGCTACTTTAACACCATGATCATATGAGGGTCACAAAGGACCCCAAAAAGTTTCATGGTCAAAATAACAGTGAGGTGAAAATCTAACATTGTGATGGCCCTAATCCTGACACAAATCATCTCAGACACTTAGCTTTAAACACTTTAACAAAGCTAACTTTTATGTTTATGGTGTCATTTTAAAATAAAGGTACATCTGAGCACTTTCTTCCTCTAGGAACACACTTTTGTGTAGCAGAGCCTTGACAGGCCTGGCTGCATGTGAGGACAGACTCCCTGTAGCAGATGGGTAATGTTCATTATTGTTGGTGTTTGAAATAGCAGGGATCATTAATTACTCTGAGAGGTCCCTCTGCAGCTCCCCCAGTGGATCCATCACAAATACACTGAGTTTAACCTGGGCCAGACTCTATTCCCTCATCACTATTACCATTATGTTAGTCACGTCTGATGGAGCTGAGCCTGAAATCAGACTGAGCATAATGAGTGATTTAAGCCCTTCACCTGTCAGACTGTCACTGTTGTAATTGTTTATCTGCACAAGTGACGCATAGTTGTATTAAACAGTGTGTGCAGCAGTCTTAACACATGACTAATCAGCTTGATTTAAAGCACAAGATGCCAAAAAATGAAGACCGTGGTACATCTTTGGCTTTGTTTAAGATTTTCAACCTGACAAAAACAGGAAGAAAGGATTGCCTCAGTTCTTAAAAAAAAAAAGTGAAAACAAGCAACTTTTTTTTTTTTTTCCTTTTCATTTTATTAAACTAGTGGTCAAATTATTTTGGAGTATTTGGGCCACATTAAGAGAAAAATAAATAAGACTACGTAATTATTTAGGAGAATAAAGTCGTATTAAAGTAATTACTTACGAGAATAATGTTGTAATAAAATCATTACTTACAAGAATAAATTTGTAATAAAATCATTACTTACCAGAATAAAGTCATAATAAAATCATTTATTATGAGAATAAAGTCGTAGCTAATAGCTATTCTAACCTGTTAGCTGTTGAAATGAGCACTGTGAAGCATTTAGATAAATTGAACTTCAGTAGCTAGGTCTCACAAACAAGGAGATAAATTCTTTGGCGTTTCAGCATCACATTGTCCCAAGTATCAGGACATATGCAAGAAATGCATCTTTTCTGCAGAAAGAACCAGGCGGACTTGTAGGGAATCGCTGTTTTTGGCTGGAAATGGGTGTTCAGAGGCTAAGTCCCTCAATGCAGCTGTTTATAGCAATAGCATATGGCTTTAGTTTATCGTATGAATCGATATGCCATAAGGTGTTGGTGCCTCTGCAGGTGTAGGTTGCTGTAGGTGTTGTGCCAGCATCAGAGACAGACATGGTGCTCATCGGAGCTCGACTCCCTCTGAATCGCAAATGTTGATCATCAGTTGGATTATTTCTTGAGAAACCACAAAATCCCTCTGAGTGGCCCACTGATGCACCCAATATGTGCTAACTGCTCTCCATGACTGTAAAAAAAGCTGATATTTTTACCTTTCATACCTTGCACTGTCTAAGCTGATTTGTTGCTGTTTCCTGTTTCATTTTTTGTTATTTTGCTTTTAAACTGCACTTAATGCTTGCAACCTTGTCCCACAGCATTTGTGTGTCCTCATACAGCGCAGCTTGATTGACAGATGCTCAACCATCAGTCATAGTTAAACTCTCACCTTTCCTGACACACACTCTGTCATTTGATCTGCTCATCCTGACTCCAATGCTCTCCATTCATACACTTCTATTTGCAGATCATTATGCAAAACAGTGTGTGTTTATCCGCCGACGTGGCAGCGAGCTGTTCATAAACAGGCAGTCACCTATACTGAGGACAAATCCAATCTTGGCCCCGCACAACATATCAGTGATTTTAAATGGAGAATTATGTGCAACCAAGAGTTATCTATGAGTCAATTTGTTCAGGCAAACGTGTTTAAAGTTAAGATTTCAGTTTGCCAAAATTAAACCAACAGATAAGGGCTTCCCTCTATGAGGGGAAATGTTTAGCTGGCAGGCTGCTGTGAGTGCTTGTTATATGATAGGGCGTCACATTGCCTCTTGTTGCATCATTGTTGCCTCTCAGTGCTCTCATCAGACACTAATCCATAGATCAATAGAGTGTGATGAGCCTGCTAATTAGCCCCGTCCAATATTTGAACTCAGAGTAACAACAGAGACGACAGTGTGACACACATACAAAGCGGTTATTCGTCTGCATGGCTGCATCCTGTTACAGCTCTTTTTGAATACTTTGTGTGATGCAGCTTTTTTTAAATTTTTTTTTTATGAGTATAAAAATGTTTTGTTTCTGAACTTTAACATTTGCTGATAAAAACATAAACAGTGAGTTCACTCGTGTGTCCCAATCAGATAATTGGCTGTAATGATGCATGAAAACATTTTAGCAATTCAAGCAGCAATTACATGGTTCAAGCATTCATGACACAAGCGTACACTCCCAGACACAAACACCATGGATGTCACAAAAAGAGCTGTCGGCTGCTAATGTTCTGCAAATTTTACATTAACTGTTATACATACTCTACATTACAAGATACATATAACCAACACCCTTCCCTGTTCATAATTTTATTCACTTGTCTCATTTTATAATGTATACTATAGTTAGACGTGGAAAAAACACACAACTATTTCAAACACCAACATTTATTTGACACTTACTGATTAAAGTGATTTACTACCTTGATTTCGAAAACCTAAGCTGCAAAGCACTGGCATTAATTTATCATATCTTCCTTGGATATCTTGTTCGACAGCATATTCCTGACTATTTGTGCAAAGATCCCTCAAATCCCAAAGAAACAGCATACTCTCAGCTTCTTCTGCAAAAATCTTAGCAAACAGCATGCTCTCAGCTTTTACTGTGCAGATCTCTGAATGCAACATGCTCTCAACTTCTTCCTGCAAAGATCTCAGCAAACACCATGAGCTGATCTTCTCCTGCAAAGATCCCATACAACAATTTGCTCTCAGCCTCTTTTGCAAAGATCTCGGCAAACAACATACTCCCAGCTTCTCCTGCAAAAATCTCATCAAACAGCATGCTCTTAGCTTTTACAATAAACATCTCAGAAAATAACATTCTCTGCGCTTCTCCTGCAAAGATTTCAGCAACCAGCATGCTTTAAAGTTCTCTGGCAAAGATCTATGCAAACAACACGCTCTCAGCTTCTCCTGCAAAGATTTCAGCAAACAACATGCTCTCAGCTTCTCCTGCAAAGATTTCATCAAACAACATGCTCTCAGCTTCTCCTGCAAAGATCTCAGCAAACAACATGCTCTCAGCTTCTCTTGCAAGGATCTCATCAGACAGCATGCTCTTAGCTTCTCCCGCAAAGATCTCAGCAAACAGCATCCTTAAAGGTTCTCCTGCAAAAATCCCATAAAACAGGATGCCCTCAGCTTCTCCTGCAATGATCTTCTCTTAAAGGGCATGCTTTAAGGTTCTCCTGCAAAGATCTTGGCAAAAAGCATGCTCTTAGCTCCTCCTGCAAAGATCTTCTTTTGAAGGGCATGGTCTTAGCTTCTTTTGCAAAGATCTCAGCAAACAACATGCTGGCAGCTCCTCCAGCAAAGACCCATTCAAATTACATGCTCTCAGCTTCCCTTGCAAAGATCTCAGCAAAAAACATACTCACCAGGGGTGGGAATCACTTGTGGCCCCATGATATGATATTATCACAATACTTGGGCCGTGATATGATATCATTGCAATTTTAACATTTTGCAATACAGTGAGTATTGCGATACTATATATTTATATTTATACCATTTTTTAAAACTGTTTAGCTAATTTAGCATTTGGCTGTTCTTTATGTTTGTCTTTTTGGACTTGAATCTTAATATTAAGGAACAGATCTACTGTGATGCAGAGTGGCAGTAAACTGTGGGAGGAACACAGGTGAGCAAGTCTATTTAAAGAGAGGGGGAGGAGATAAACCAGCTGTATTTGGAAAGGTAATATTCCTCCTTTAATGGTGTCTCTATCCCTGAGGGGACTATTATTGTATTTTTTAACATAATGTGAGCAGCTGATGTGCAACACATGTCAGCTGTGTAAATTACATGGAAATACAACAACCTGTGACCTCTGGCACTCTTGGATTTACAGGGGAGTCTTTAATTTACAGCCATAGGACAGATCCCGTCAGGCTGAAAATCACTGATGGCCTTCAGGACTGACAAACTGCCAAATGTTTACAGGTAATACTAATCCTGTACAACCTGGGCTACAGCTGCCACAGAAGAGTCTGAAAATTGTGTATTTGTGAGTACCTGTGTGAGTGTGGCGGAATGAATTTTAATGAGATTACTTCCCTCACCTTCCAGGATGATGTTTTTAAAATTCATGTGGTGATGCAGGACTGAGTGCTGATACTGTAAGTCATAAACTTGAGGAGACTTAATCCCACCTGCTGGCCGATCTCTGTGAGCTTCTCATTATAAAGAATCAAAGATTAGAAACAAGCACTGCCTCTGTGCCGCTCGCCACACTCTTTTCCATCCTCTCTGAATAACAGCTATTGATCCTCTTATTTCTTCTGCTCAGTGATCTTAATCACCTGATCCCCCTGTGTCTCTCTGTCCACTACAGCTGCACCTCCTGAAGGGCTCACTGCTCATTTTATACCACTTTTATCATATAATGGCAGTGTTAGTCTTTTTTTTCCTTACTTTTTAACGAGCCTTTTCCTGTTGAACTGTGGTTATTAAACAAAGGTCTCATTTCAGACACTTCCTGTTTCTGTAAGGCTCTCTGCACCTCCATCTCATATACACACATAAGCCCTCTGACCCCCCCATGTGAAAACACTGCAGCAAATCTTCCAGATAACTCCCTGCGAGTGGCAGTGGGGGGGAGCTGGCAGGGAGTGTCGATGTTTACCAGGCAGCGGGTGTTCGGTCTAGTTTTGCTACAAGGTTGAAAAATGCTGCTGTAGCACAAATCTATAACAGAGGGAGTCTGTTTATAAATGTTTTTATATCATAGTGATGGGAAGAACCGTTCCTTTTAAAGCGTTTCGGAGCCCTGTCCTGCCGGTGCGGTACACGAGTGAGCGACACAGTGGCGCTGATCAGGATGTCTTTCATTGGACAAGTCCCTCCCCTGCTGCTGAAGTCACAGTGTCGTTCACTGGGTGACACATGTGGTTCATTCGCCAATTTGTAAAAGAAGAATCACTCCCCTGCCCTGAAATACTCACCTCTCTGTGTATCGCCGAAGTTCGCATCAACACAGCAGCAAGCAGCACGCCCACTAAACGAGCGCGAGTCCTCGTTCTTTTATATCGCAGAAAAGTGGAGCGATTCAAAATAAATAACAATGCAGCTGTAGCGGAGATTCTGCTACTTTTAAAGATATGCTGAAATTAAATCCTTTTCGTTGGAAAGTTTATAGACCTGTATTAATGGAAAGGCACTGTAATGCACTGTTTTATCTTAGCCTACGTTTATCCTCACAGTGAAGGAACTGGTGCTCGGCAATTCGTTAACGACACCATGCCCCTCTGCCTGTCTCAAGTTGTTCGGAAGTCGTCCATTTCGTTTACAGTCTGACCGATCAGTTCCACTCCTGACTGGCACACCAGCCTTGTTGCTGAGCTCACCTAAACTGAGAAAGGAACGAATCAGGTCTCAGAGTGATTCAGTTCACGTTGTTCATTTAGCAGTTCCGTTCTTTTGAAAGAAACATCCACAAATTACATAACACTATTATATCGTGAATTGAGATAAGCGTGAGAGGAAGTCACAGTTTGGTACACTAATATGAAACTTCTGATTAAGAATTTTGGGAGAGTTGAATCTCAGGTTATATACCACAATAATCTGACCACCGTGCAGACAGAGCCTATTAGCTAACACGAGAAGACCCATTCACCTTCTTATATATAACTGTTGATTAAAACTTTCAATTTAACTTGAATAATAACAGTTAAGTGGACTAGTTCAGTCCTGTCCTTATATGGGCATGCAATGTCTTAATATGACAATTAATTTAAATGTTTAGATTGTTGTTTGTGATGAAAGACAGTGAGGATATTATCCACAGCCAGTCATGTTACCAACTGTAGTTTTAGCAGGACTGTTTTTTTATTTGTACAAATATGAGTTTTGAGGAAATTAAATATTTAAATAAATATTTTGACACCATTTTTTTAAAGTTATTAGTTGACACAGTTAACATTAGCATTTGGTTCGTCCTAGTTAGGAATTATGTTTAAAACCCCCAGATGAGATGGGAAAAGAGAAACATTTGCATAAGCAGAATTATCATTATACTTTTTTTTTTTAAATCCAAAGTGGTGTACATTTGAGAGTAAGTGCAACACAAAGAAAGCTCTAGATGAAATGAAACAGCATGAGTAAGTGCCACAAACTGCTAACAATGTAATTAGACGCTGTGCTATCATACAGTGCTAAAGGCAATGTAATCTTTTTGTCATAACGTATCATTATCACCCCATCAGCAATAACGAAAAAGATCAGCCATTTAAAGTCAGAATACCACTGTCATCATCGTCTTCAGCAGTGCGTCATCAGTGCGATGGTACAGCACAGCACACCACAACCAAGTGCCAAGCTACTAAGTGGTGAGTTGCTATACGCAGAGAGTTATCCCTGAGATTTTCGAATGTGTTCTCACATCATTTCACTTGGATTTTACCCGGAAATGACACCACAGGGTTAAAGGAAAAAATTCTGCATTTAGTTGGGGTGAAAAACTCACTTCCAGGAAATTTCTAGGAACTATGTGCATGTGTTAAAGGGGCTACTGTCACTCAAGGTTCAAACTGTCAATAATTAGGAGTGCAAGTGCAAAAATTAAGCTGATAATTGGATAGATGGTGCCGCTCAGACTAAAAGATGAAGGGAAGTGAAAAGTTTTATGACAACAAACAATAAAAGAGATTTATAAATGTATCAGCACTGAAAGAGTAGAAATCAGAGGCAGCAATGCAGATGTATGTGACGTCATTTAAATGAGAAAAAACAAAGGATGATATCATTTTTATGCTTTATATGGTCTATGGTTTGAACTACTGGATGTTCAGTGGCACTGTAATGTTTTGTCCATATTTGCAGAAGACTTGCAGGAACAAACAGCAATCTATGAATTTACAAGTACCTGACAAGCCATCAAGTATGTTCTCTGAACTTCAAATTTTTCCAGATTTTTCTCCAGATTTTTAAATAGTCTGTGTTTGTTGTTGATTATAAATCATTGAGCTCTGAAATGACCACAGAGCATCAGATTACTAACGTTTGCACGACTTATGCCCTAAATCATGACTGAATAAAATTAGTGATGGAGGCTGTGGGAATGTGATCCATTCATAACTGTTAAGAAACAGATTAAGACTGTAAAATGATATCACCCTCTTAATTTTCATGCATAGTAAGGCCTCTTGGACATTAAGTTTGTTTTAAGAGATCTTATTTTTCTCCTCAGACCCCATAAGGTGTCAACACTAACCATCTTTCCCTTGTATCACAGTGAAAGTCTTTAATGGATTGGGTCTCAGCTCTTATATCTTATGAATCCTGGCATGCACGAGTGAGGTTGTAAACAGTTTTATGGCTGTATCTCTTTGATTAGTGTTTTGATTCTTGTCTCTCTCATAAAGAGAAAGAGGGAGGGTGGATTTCATCACACCCACATCCTCTGCGAAGAACACTCATCACTCATTAAAATCAAAAACACTGCCATCATGTAGACTGCTACTTGTCACTCTCTTCATTAGAGTGCTAAGAGCACAGATGGGGAGCTTCATGACGAGCTACTATGGCAAAAACTGATATCCCGTCACCACGGCGAGCTGCGAGGAAGTATTTATCTGCAGAGAAGAGCTCCATGGAGGGCACCATTACCGCCGCACACTTGATTGTTTCGGTGTTTCCTCTCCTGCTGACTCCAACAGGTCGCCATCCACGTCTTGATTTTATGACCCAAGTTCCTGCTAAGTCATCTGTAGTGGCTCCTCCAATCACAGGGGGAGATTGGACAGCTTGATATTGACTCTGTAATCAGATTGCAACCCTCTTATGTTCAAGAGCCCCAGGAGTCCCAACCTAATGTTCCTGAGTTTACTCCTACCCCCCAAAACACTCCTCTGATTAAAAATCAGGGGCAGCAGCTACGTTCATATCAGACGAACAAGACAAGCAGGGTTTTTCTGATGAACATAACATAGCATAACATCACAAGTATCACTCGTATAATTGTGAATATTTTATGCTGGAACCATAAAAACAAGTGTTACTGAAGCTACTTGACTAACACCTACCTCCTCACACCCAATTTCCACCGCTGTGGATTTTTGCCGTCCGCCAATTCCTACCAATTCTTTTGTGAGGCAAATTTCGTGGCAGATTTCAGACAGTGGGAACTCACAAGAACCTGCGGATTTACATGCAATCGCGCGATAGCGAGTTGTCTCTATAAAGACAGCTACCTAACCATATTAGCAGTAGATTGTGTCCTTCCAGAGGAGGAAATACACTTCTTGACGCCTACAATCCGCACCCCCCCCCATCCATGGTGTCAACGGGGTGAAATAAAGTCTAAAAACCGTTGACTTGTTCGTCCCCGCCCATGTTTGCATGACGTGAAATACCATAGCCAGATGTTTTATTTTGTGTCCGTGCCCAACTTCCTTTCCAGTACGGGCTAATCTGTGCTGAATTTATGCGGCATGCTGTGGCGTCCAGAAAAAATACAACCCTGGCAAATTCAGTTGGACCACAGCGGGATGGAAAGAACCCGGCGGAAATTGACACATTAACTCGAATGGAAACAACCAGCTGTGATCAGTGCCAACAGCCTTTTTGCCAGCCTTTTTTTCAGAAATATCCAAGGGAAATGGAAAATAAATTTACACTTTATCCACAAGAATGGATAAGTAGGCAAACATTTTGTTATAAATATCTACTCCAAATCCAAAAAAGATCAAATTAAAAGTAAAAACATAATGTCCCTTTAGAGTCACTAATCCACAGTCTATTGTGGGAGTCCCTGAGCTCCATCATGCCCTAGGTTACTCTGGATCGCTGCTTCATCTACAAGCATCAATCTCATCTCTATCCATCTCCCTGTCTCCGCAGCTCCCTCTGTCCACTCTATAAACCAAATGCCTTTCTTCTTTCGTATTTAATCATATTCTCATCAATTTTCATGTTTATTCATAAAATGTCATTTTGTTCTTCCCTAAAGATGGCCTTATATAATAGGCCAATCAAGTCTGTTTCAGATTCAACCCCAAGCTACAAACCATGAAGACCTCCAGTCTTCTATGAAACACTTTTCAGAAATTTATGAGTAAATATTTGCATTAAAAATGTCTCCACCATATTAATAGATGACGAGACTAAAGACATCTAATATTCAGTGTGTCTCCAAAGGTAAAAAAAAAAGAAAAAAAAAAAAGGTAAGACCAGAAAACATCGAGGGCATGTAGAGCTGTTAAATGGTGTTTGTACTTGGGTGCAGGGACAATTAAAATAAGGTAATTTACCCTAAAATAACCGGCTGTACCAAATGTAACGTAAATGATTGATATGAAGTAATCATGCTGTGTATGCAGAGCATATTTTCTTTCGTGATCCCACTCGAGGAATGTCAGGAGTCGGGCCAAGTCCCAGCTGTTTGCCTCTACATCTCTTTGGCTGCTTTAGCTCTGGAGAGTGGCCTAGTTGGCAGCTCTTCACAGGAGGAACCAGGATCCAGAGATCTGACCCAGCATGCCTTTTCCCCTACATTTATTTTAAAGGCCATTCCATCATTTGAAGTGAACACTAAATACAGATGTGGCTCTTAAGATCGCCTTCAAAGCTGGATGGTGTAACTGAGTGCCATGCAAGGTGAATCTGGATGATCCAGGGCAGAACATTTTGACTCCACTGCTGGGTTTTGGTTTGTTTGTGAACCAAATGGTTTCCAAAGACCTGTTACAAAGTCCAATCATGGAGGACCAGCTACCCAGGCTGTCCTGTATGGGGCATCAGCCCACAGAAAGTTGTGATTGGTGAAAAGCTGTCTCTAGCATCATTTTGAAGACCGTTTTGTGAGCTCTTCGTAGTCCCCCCTTGGTATCATAATGTTGTTGCCACTTACCTGGGATCACAAGGGTGGAAGTCTAGAAAGTCAACCCAGAACCTTCTTATCCAGTCTGGTAAAGGGCCTACATTTCTCCTGAAGGCACCAAGTCTATTAATCTCATGATAGTTGTTGCCCTCACTCATAAACAAGACCCCCAGACACTTGAACCACACCAACTGAAGCAAAGCCATGCTCCCCACCCGGCATTCCACCATTGTCCAGAGAGCCATGGCTTTGGATTTGGGAGTAGCTGGCTCTCTACCCAGCCCCTTTGATCATTTTTTAAAAAATACCTAAACCAAGTCTGAATTATTAATGTCATCCATTTTGATTATTATTATTTTGAACAATTCTGAATCAAAGATTTGATCCAACATGCTAGATTGAATTTGAAGAGATTACTTGCTCTGGGATGCAGGCTTAAGTTCCGGTAGAAAGCTTCCCAGGAGAGTTGTTGCAATTGCTGCTTTTACAAGTGTCCAACTCCACATTCAAACCCGCTGAAGTACTTAGATGAAGATGTCCGGCCGAATGTGGGTGTGCTGGTGTGGTTATGCAATAACTTTGTATGGCTAGTGGATGACTCTGAATATTGGAAACAGCACAAAGACAGTCCATAACACTGGCTCTGGGAATATGTATGTTTCAGTTATGTATATGCAGCTGATTCCAACAGGACCATCATCTGTCTTCTTACCCAAATGTATGCTGCACAAGGCAGACTTCCAGAAAAGAAAAAAACAGGAATGTGCTCATGAATTATAGAAAGACATGCAGGAAATCGAAAGAAAATGTATATACTAAAAGAGGGGAAGGTTATTCTGGGTCACCCGCTGCACATTGGAAAGGTATGATGGAGATATGTTGGTCTGCACATGGATGGTTGAGCGTCATGGGGCTGATGCTGAAAGTGCAGCAGACCAAGCTTTACAAGGAGTATTAAATTATTTCTTCCTCCTCTCATTCATGCTTTAAATTCTTCAGCCGAGGCAATCTTTGGTTAAATTTGCTTTCAAATAATCAATTTTTGATGTGGATCACAAGTCCACATTTGAACGCTTCTGTGAATGGTTTTCATTCAGAATTTGAATGCTGAAATGAAGAAACCCCACTCCCTGAAAAGAAATGTGGTTTTTGTGGTTCAGGTCCCAGCATGTGGCAGATGTATTACAGACTTTTAATCTTTAGTATTGATTGACATTTTACTGAAAAGGTGCCTTAGAGAAAATGTGTATTTTTTTAACGATAAAGGGAATAAATCTGGCATCTTAGGGAGCTGAAAGCTTGTTCAAAGGTTTATTGATGTTAACTTTAAGAGTCATCAGTTTTCCTTTCTTCTTTTTTTTTGTGTATGTGCATTCAGCATCATAGGACAGTGCTGTAAAATATCATGTCTCTTCAATCACAGTAGTTTAACTGCAGAGAAATTAAAATACAACTTCAAATTAAAGCTACAAGTGGTGTTGAAAAGGCCCTCACACCTTGGCGTACACTCCAACCTATTGCAACCATGAGGTGTGGAGATGTCATCGGTAGTAATAAATGCATACGTAGATATGAACAGTTTGAGAAAAGGTTAAATAGTTGTGTAGTTCTATATTTAAGCAGTAGGTGGAGCTAAGGCTTACAAAACTGTTAGTTAGAAATAATCATAAAAATGCCTTTCAACGAAGAGTTCGATAACAATGCATGGATGAATGAGAACCTACACAGATAAAAATGCCTTAGTTAAACAGTAATCAGTTGGAGGTCATTGTAATTTTTCAAGGAGCGTTAATTCCACTTTTAACCAACAGGTCGTGCTACTACTATGACAAGAAATACAGTATGTACGTGGATGAGTTCACATTACATCTCTCCACGAAATCCTCCAGTGAGTCCAACTTGAGTCTAATAAAATGATACTGGAAACCAAACAAGGAACTTCAGCCGTTGCCTGGGGTGGAATGTAAACAAGTGTTGTGGGGATATTACTGACCTCCCTTGGAACATAATACAGCCAAAGAGCAACTAGCAACAGTTCAAGCAACTTCTCCTTAACAGTTATTTGTGAAGAGTTACACCACCTCTGGTAAACAAACTAAAAGTCTAGAGTTCTTTTTGGGATTACAGGGAGGTGACAAGATTTGTGAAATTAAATTCGGGAGTACTTGGTGTTAGCACATCCTCTCTAAAAACTGTTTTTTAGGACTGTGCGCTAAATGCTCACTCGCACTTCCTACCTACCCAGCTAACGTAACAACTGTTGTACTTGTCTACACACAACATTTTTTTTTCTGATTCATGAAATGATAAATTAGGGACATTTCTGGGGACAGCTTTGGCCAGGGAAAGGTCATTCAAAGCATGGATTGTCCCCAGAAATCAGGAACCTTCAGACTATATTTGGTATATTGTCTAGTAAGTTTCATGTATCGATATAGGCTGAAACTAGCTGATTTTGTTATATTAATCCATTCTTTTATTACTTATTTGAAGGTTTTGGGGGAGTTGCAGAGTAAATGATAAAAACCTATACAACATCAAAATATTCTCTGAGCCTAGTGGGTGTGTGAAGTTTTGTCTATGAGTGTATAACAGTTAAAATTGAACACACACTCAACAAGGAGATTAGTGACTTTTTAAGGCTGGCGTCAGAGTTGTTTTTACAGTATTGTCATGATTTCGGTCTTTGAAGTTGGCTCATGCACAGACAGCAGCTAATATCGGATTATACAAAACTGCTGTTAACAGATTATCATTTGCCACAGCTTTACATAACAAAGAGCCTCTCTACAAAAGTGGGAACTATTAATGTCTGTATCATTAATTACAGTTACAGTCTGTGTCAGGGGGAGTCACTATTAAAGAGGCAGCGGTGACTGATGGCTTACTGTGGTATGCAAGGCTGCAGTAACCATGGCCACCAGGTGGTGGTTAATGCAATTGTCTGCATGATGAATCACCATGGCTCCCTCCACTTGTCATATGACTCTGACAAACCAATTAACCCAGTAAACCAGTTGGCTGTGTCTGCATCCCTTTATCAGGATTATAGGAGGTAATGTAGTGGACAGTTAAGAGTGCATTTCAAGTTAAAAGCCACCATTATGAGGATGTTTTGATAACTACACTTACAGTTGTGGTGGTGTACGATGAATAATTAAATATATCAAGGGCTTTTTCCAGCCTGCTGGGGTCTGCTGGTTTGTCAGGTGGACTGGTGTTTTAACTCTGTGAAGAAAGGGTGGACACAGTGGTACCTTAAATGCACATCGTTTTCATTGACAGCAGGGGATACCTCGGCTGGTTGAAGAAAGGAGTAGGATTGTATTACCTCAGTAATAGTTTTTCTTACACCTTTCTGGTCTCAACTGTGAGTTAAATGTTGTCTTGGATGAAGGATGTTTATCCTCTTTTTTATAAAGAGAAAAGAGACAATGGCTATTGAAGGGATTTTAAAACCAACAACATACATTTTTAATTCCAAACAGGCACAATTCCACATAAAATGAAAATAGCAAAAGTTACATCTCAATTTTTGCCACCACAATTCTCTAAAATACTTGAAAAACTCATTAACAAAAAGGTCAGACAACTTCATTGACAAATGCAAATTACTTTCAGATAGTCAATCTCAGTTTAGAACCAACAGATTAACATCAGAAGACCCAATAGAACCATTTGAAGAAATAACAAATTTAGTTTAGCAGTATGTAGTTGGAGTATTTGTTGGCCTGAAAAAAAAAAAAAAACATTTGATTCGATAACCCAAACATATTCATCAATAAACTGGAGCAGAAAAAGATGAGGGGTTGGAATTAGATTAGATTAGGAGCTATTTAAATGGCAGAAAACAGTTTGTAAAACTTTGTGATTTTTGCTCCCTGTGTTTAGACATTATGGGCCTGATCTACAAAAGGTTTTTGTTTGCAAAAACACGTGCAAATTTGGTAGCGCACGCAAACCTAATCTACTAATCAGGTGCACCAAGGATTGCGTCTGTCAAATGAGCAAAACAGCGCAAGCAATCGATTTAGCGTGTATGCCTTCATGAATATGCAGAATGTATGTAGATCATCAGAACGTGCAAAATTCTGGGAGGAGCAGATGCAAATGAAATCATTTAGCACCCACAGTGTGATCTATCAAACTCAGAAACCGATTGCAGTTGCTATTTTGCGTCTATATTTAGCAAGTTTAAAAGGCACGTGCAAACTGGAGCAGCATTATGCACGGTTGCAAGTGCCATGACAAACGCCATGATCCTTGTCCAAAAGCTTGTGATTTATTTCATTTTTCCGGTAATTGACAATTTTCATAACTAATAAGGTCAAACACGAAACAGACGAAAACATGTATCTGTTTGTCTTACTGATTTAAAATCATTTTTAAACCCTTTTCTGATTTCTAGTATATCTTCTTGCATCTGTTAAGCACTTTGAATTGCCTTGTGTATGAATTGTGCTATACAAATAAACTTGCCTTGCCTCTTATGCAGTTCCCCAAAACAATATATGCAACTCCATGGCTTCAAACACTTTGCTCTCACAAACTCTCCATGGTGACAGCCGATAGCGCACGCAAAATCCCTGTTTAAAAAGGGCGGTCTGCATCACTTGCGCTCACTATTTTGGATCTTAGTAGATCAGGCCCTAAATGTGGTGTCCCTTAGTTGTTATCACATGTAATACAATTATTCTTATTTGCTGATGACAGGAGTATTTCATGTCTTAGGACTCTGCAAACTTTGAGATATATAGGAATCTACAGTGTTTTGAACCATTGTTATATGTCTCATATTATAACTGTAGGCACCATTTAACCATGAAAACTGTTTTTTATTATTTAAATACATAATTTGCTGAAGTACTGACGAAGGTATGTTATTTTTCAATTTGAGAAAAGTATATTATTTTTTTATTTTAAGATGTTGAGTGTTCGCTAATTTGTTTTTTTGTATTAAGTGCCTGTTTGTTGCAGTCCTTAGCTGTTCCCATGGTCATGTGATAAAGACTCAGGAAGTGAAGTGCATATAAGTTTTTTGATGCTTTTCTCAGTAAATGAGTGCAGCAGAGCGTCAGGTTGTTGTATGCTGTAGGCCTTCAAGCCAACTCAACGAGTAAAACATTTTTGTTGTCACTCAAGAGGAGTTATAAAACAAGTACGTTTAGAAATGCAACATGTAAGAAAAATAAGACATTAGATAGCCACTACAATAACAGACCATTAACTGGTTCGTACATTGCTTTTCAACTAGCTACATATTAATATCCCTTTTGATTTTATTTATCAAAGACTTTCTGGTTGAGCCTGTGAAGCTCAAAGATCAAATGTAAAGCCAGAGATAAAAGATCAAATGAGAATTAAATCTGGGGCCAAAAATTAAGAGTTTGTTTTTCTTATGATGCTCATTTGACAACACTTTTTTATAAAACCCAAAACCCTCAGAAATAATCACAGCTCCTTCAGAAAAATCCAGAAGAAAGACACAGATAAAGTTAGAGCTAATCCAGATTCCATTCAACTGACTTTAGATGTGCAGCAGGGAATCTCCACCATTGACTCTTGGATTTTGTCAAAAGCAGAGGACATTTTAAAAATTTTAGAGCTTTGTCAGCCACACTGCCATACGCACAGCCATTTTAAAACCTCATATTCCACACACACACAAATCCCTCAACGCTTTTCTTAGCCCTCCAACTTAAGTTCTGCAACTATAAAACTGTCAAAGCAGACACTATTGTTGTTCCTCAGCCTGACATTTTCTTTTCCCTGCCCGGCCTCACTCTTGACCTTCACCACAGCACAGAGGCCCTCCAGCTGAGGGATGCAATATATTCTCTATAGGTGCATATCAACTGTCAAGACCGTTTTCAAAGGTTCCTCACACCCTGAGCAGCCTCACCTGCAAACTACAAAGAGCAGGCATTTTCAATCACAGGCCTCAGATGCAGTGGCCTCAGTATCAGTAGCTCCTGGGCATTCCTGCACATGGCTGACCCTCAGCTCAGTGGTGGGAGCAGTTCAAAGCCGAGCAGGGACAGACACATCTTTCCTGCTCTCACAAATACAATGCACATCGTTAACCTGTGTGCAAATGCTCCCACAGCAAAAAAAAAAAAGGAGAAGAGCAGCCCCCAGCCACTCAGGCAATTCTGAGAAATGTCTGTGTAGAATAATTACCCAGGTTATAAATGATGCTGACAGATTTAGTCAAACACTTTCTCTTTGTAGACTCTCGCTAATGATGATTTATGATTATAGACTGTTAATGTGCATGCAATGATTCATCACAGCCCTAAAAGCTGCAAGACTCACTAACTCAGATTATTAGATTAATATTTTATAACAGTAATTAGGGCAGCTCTGGCTGGTTGGGGAGTAAAGACTAAAAAACTGAGAAAAAAAAGCATTTGATGTCACTCTTAAAAAATGAGCTTCTTTGAGAGAAGGTGTACTGTTAATCATTAAGACACAATTATTTCAACCCTTTTTGTTTCTTTTTGGTGCAGACACTAGACTTAATGAAAATTTGGCTGGCTACAACACTACAAGTAATTAAGCCATTGTCCTTTATGTAAACAAATGGAACAAGACTCAAATTATAAAATTACAATAAGTCTAAATACATTTTCTGGTGAAGCTTGTATATGTCATGAAAGTTTGTTCTTATAATGCTGATTTACATCAAAGCATTCATGTTGAAGTTCATGCGTTCATGTGGGGAAAATGTATCATGAAGGGGTAGTAATCCTTTCAGGGTGAGAGTACACGTGGGTGTTAAACAGAGCAGTTATTACCGAGCTACCCTCTAAATAATAGTTGTGCTAAATATTAATTTCTTTTAAAATGATTACAGCCAATAAATAGATGAATCACAAAAAATTAAACATGATATAATAGAAAAATCAACAGATGGTAGTGTTTTTCATTGAAGTTCATTTTTATAGGTTGTTTTGTCATCAAAACCCCCTGGGGAGCTCACTGTTGGTGTTAATTGTGGTGCCCCGTGTGAGGAAAACGATATGTCTCATTTCCTGGCTGACACTGTGCCAGCAGTGTCTCCTGAAGTAAAATGCCTTTTGCCCCATAACAATCAATTCTGTCTGTAACTGGGACACCAAGCTGTGGATAATGTCAAAAAGGCCAAATATTCAGCCTCTTTCTTCTCCCTCAAAGTGGTTAAAAAAGCATGAAAATCTCTGGATAGAAACACTTATTCTTGTTACTGATGGTCTGGTCTCAGCTTTCCGTGATCATATACATAGACACCAATGTTAGTTTCAGATTGTCTATTTATCACTCAAAAGCCCTCATGGTGGCATTAAACCGAAATTAAAATCCAAATCACAGTCTTCACATTTGGCTGCTTTACTGTTATAAGTCACGATAAAATCCAAATTTTTATTCACTACAATGTAATAATAATTTTTTAAGTGCTTTTACAGGGTCCTTCTACTTGTAAAGTTTCTGTCAGTAATGTCATCCCTCTTAAACTGGTTCCTTTTTATGGGATTTTTTCATTTTAAATTATGATTACAGATTACTTGTTCAGTCTGTCAGCATCACCCTAGGATTAGGGCGTTAATTTAAACCGGGACTTTGAAAAAGTTACTTTCAATTATGATTATTTGCGGCATTTCAATAATAAATTGCAAGTCCATACTAACAGCATTAAAAATGTCCTTACTGTTGTGCTAATTTTTAAATTAAATGAACTCACATAAAATTCAGATATCTGATTAATTTATTTGTATCTTTTTAAAGCATGACACTCATACACATAAAATGATATGACAGAGTACATTGGCGACATATTCAATCAGTGTCGATATAGTCATTCTGATCATTTTGATAACTCAATGATGTCCAGGGATTCCTGGTTAAGGTGATGGCATTTGGACTTTTCAGGAGTTTCAGTTTGATTGTGTTACTTTGTCATCCAGGTCCTGAATGCTTGGAACAAATATACCCCATATTGGTAGTGGGCAAACATGAGGACAGACCCTCAGCAGGGTACACACTACAAGATAATGGAGCTGATTTGGGGCTCAATTATCTCCTGCCAACCAAAGCCAACTGAGTCCTGATTATCTGGCACTTTGAAGATGATCTCATCACATTTTCCTGTGGTCAGTTATATTAAGAGTGATTATACTGACCCAAACATTTTCAGCATTTATGATCAGATATTAGTCGGGCAAGTGCACCTGTAACCATAACTCATGAATGGTAGATCAAACTTGGAGACTTTGTTGATGTATTGAAGTCATTTGGCACAAAGTGCACATTACTTTGACTTGTCAACCAAGCCGTCTGTTTTTTTATTTTTTTTATGTGGGCTATATGACGAGTAGCAGTGCACTTATAGTGTGCTACTAAAAATAAATAGAACATGAATTCAGTTTCATCTGATATTAAAGATGACAATCCCAATTAGATCACTTTGTTTTTGCAGAATCTAAGGTTTGAGTCCAAACACCAACCTTTACAACAACAGACATCCTATCTATAACACAGGGGCTCCCTGAGGATCCCAAAGGTTCTTACAACAGACAAAGGTGTGCAGAAGTTTATGTAGTCTTGCTCTCTTGTTTGATTATTTTCCCAGGTGAGCTGCTCCTTGTTTGGACCGAGAGTAAGAGGTAATGTCTTTATGAGAAAGGATTTAGGTGTCAGACCTAAACAGGCCCCCTGTGTGTACACTCATGCTCATATACATCTCTCTCTACATCAGTCTTGTTAATTTAGCATAATTATCACTGGTATGTTGCCTTATGAGGCGCTAAGGAAGGGCCACATGATGAGGTTGTTCTCTTTTATTCCTTCACTTCCCTGGTTTTTATGGCCTAATTAGGAAGGTCCTGGGGGAGATTCCTCTGTGCTGGCACATGTGAAACAGAGACAAGGAGGAGAAAAAGAGAGAGAATGCAAGGCATGTAAGGTAGAAGCAAAGTTGTGGGAGTGGGGGGATACCAGGGGGAATGAGCAGATAGACAGCCAATACATAAGAGACAGTGAAGAGAAAGTGATGGAGAGAGAGGGGCTGCATGCACTGTTTATCATACATCTCAAGCACTGTACAGGATCCTCGGAGGGCCCAACACCTTCAAACCTTTATCACACACTGCCTGCCTGGGGCTGTGGGTGTGGCCAGGAATAGGAAATAACAGCAGAGGACACAAAAACGACTTTTTACCTCTCCAAGAATTCTCAGACACAAGTCAAAATATGACTTTTTTTTCCCCACAGAGAACACAATTATTTAACAAAACATAACCTTTGACCAATACAAAAGTGGATCAGGGCCACTTAAGAAAAAAGAATTACAATTATTAAAATTCATTTTAGGAAATTTACGTTTAAGCTGGATTTTAATTTAAAAGAATATTCTAAGACAGAGGAACTACTACATTTGCAGTACACATACAAAATACACAAGAACTCTGATTGCATTTCCATTTGTCAGGTTTCCCCCACAAACAAGCGGCTGCTGGAGGAGAGTGGGTGAGTTGTGTTTAGTCTCTTTGCTAAAGAAATCAGGCAAAATTAAAAAGATGTTGGATGGCTGGTACTATGGCTGGGACCCTATATGTACTGTTGATGATGTTAGGGTGCTGTTCTGAGCATTATTTGTGGTTATAGAGTGGCTTTTTGGTTGAGGTTTGTGCGTGGAGATGTAGCCCGTTGTGTATTGCTTTCATGTGGTCGTTACTAAAGTTGGTATAACTAGAGAAGCAAGCAGTCGGCAACATTCATCTCTCGAGGGGGTGTCCAACTCGGTGTTGCGGTGTGTTTGACCATGGTTTAAACTTACGCCAGAATATTCCTCTAATGCTCAGTCACGTTTTTATATTGACCCTACATGCAGTTTACTCATGCAAATTACATTTGCAACTTGCTGTTTTTATATCATAGGCTTGAAACTGACAAGTGCATTGAATGGAACATGCAGAAACTTGAGATGCACGGCATCACGTTGTGCTGTGTGAGAGCCCTCTGTCTCCCATGATCTCACTGGGACCTAGATTTTGCTTCGATCTTTTCCTAGTTCATTCCTGAGAGAAAGTAATGCTAACCAATGATGCAGTCGTCTGCTTGTGGATTTGCTGGTGCATACTCTCCAAATAATCATTCACCCTCCTCCCCCTACTTCTCACATGGCTTTTTTACCATCTGTCCCAAACAAAAACTGAGGTTTAGTTGTATGTTTTCTCTCATTCCCTTGAAAATCAACAAAGAAGAGTCTTCCTGCTGCTTTTGTTGCTCAAACTTGACTGGTTTAGGTTCCTGTTTCCTCCACGCCACTGTGGTAATCAGTAAAGGTGGCATGTGGCGTTTCAGTATATATATAATGAACAGCACTGCCTCGTTTCCCAAAGAGACCCTGTCTGTAATTGAGTTGGGCTTCTGCTAGAAGTTTTACAGTATTTGTATTGGTTACTACCCTGACCCGGGGTTTTAATATTTTTTTTCCTCAGCTTAACGCGTTTCCACCCACACCACTACGGATTCTCAGAGTAAATTAATTATGTATTTCTCACAGAGTAGCCATGCTCAGTGTGCTTTCTCTCTCAGATTAGCAGCGGATCACCAGACTCTCCAGTCATTAAACATGGCCTGCTTTCGCAGCATTGAGTGCCAAACTACAGGGACTCTCTCTGCGAGTGGAAATATTCAGATCTGATACTATGCATAATGAGGGAAAAACAAGTCCATAAAAAGGACCCATCCTCTAATTTACTCTGCTTCCCTGCCCTCTCTTTACTACCTTCTCTGACTGTTAAATAATTCATCAAGTTTTGTTCAACTAGTCTCTCTTAATGGCCATCATGTCAATCTTTAGAATCCTGCTGGTTGTGTTGGGCTGCTGCAGCTGAGCGCTCCTATCTTTTCATCTGGGGTGCCAGGAGAGAGGTTTACACTGTGTGTGTGTGTGTGGGTGTGAACATGTGTGTGCTTGTACATGCGTGCATGCTTACACCCATTAGGTACAATACAGCAAGACATCCAGGCTTACAGTGATGGGATCGATTCTTTTCATCATGTCCTGGGAAATTATTGATTTTTTTCTTCATGCCAAACTCTTTGGACAGTGCTCACAATTAGAGAGGGAGAGGGAGGAGGTGGTGTAAGAGCAGAGAGTATGGCGCCCTGAGGCTGTGGATGCCTCCCCACCTCTGCTCATGGAGGACATATTGAATAGGGTGTCAGGAGAAATCCACTCGGCCCAGTGCTGCATCCAGACATCAGACTGAGGTGGTCCCAGTGTGGCACTGGGTTCTTTAGGAGAGGCTGGAGCACATTCAGCTCAGCCACAAGTGATCGAATAGAGTTTTTTTTTATTTATTTTTTTTACTCTAATTGATCGATTTTGGTGTGTGTGTGTGTGTGTGTGTACATGGGTGGGTGGTTCAGACTGATCTTTTGAATTTCATTGAGAAGAGGACCTGCACTGTTTTAATGAACAAACTCCCCCAGGCTTTTAAATAGCAGGTTTCAGTTCCTGGACTGTTGGACATTATTAGTTTAATATCTTAAAAGAGACTTTCAGCCTTTAATTCAATATAGGTATCACTGGCAGCAGGTAGGGCTGCTGAATTTAGACAAAAAATTATAACCACAATTATCCTTATTGATGTTAAGTTCAATATTATTAAACGCGGTTACTCATTATAAGACATCTGCATAAACTATTCACAGAATTTTAAAACTTTTAAAAACTTAAACACTCAGAATTCTTTCAAATATTAAAAAAGAAAAACTTTCTTTAAAAAAAAAAAATAATTTGAACTGTTTTTTTTTTTTTTACTTCACTGGGAGCTGACCGTTCGGCCTTTTCATGCCTTCCTCTATAATGTCAAGAGTAAGGCCTATATGGACCGATTACTATATTAAAAAATGCTGCTTCTCTTATAATAAATGGATGTTTCTTGTTTTTTTTAAAGCAGAGTTTTGAAGCACTTCCCACAGTCACCTTGGTTAGTTAACTAACAAGCTTTCATCCTGCTGTTTTTAACACAGAATTTAACATTGATTCCAATGGACTGTGTTAAAGCAGACATAAATTGAGCTTAAAATCACCTCTTCAAGCAGACTGGGGTCAGGTATGACTGTGTTTATGCTGATACCGGACATATGAGTCCAGTGTATTCAGAGCTGGACTTTGATCTGGAATCTGATACCCTCTTAGTAGTCTAGCTTGCAGGAAAACAAGGTTTTTTGATGGCTAACCAATGATACGTTTAGAATTTATATGTTTTTCTTGAGCTTCTTATACTCTTGTTTTCAGGATTGAAATTTTGATATCATTTTTAAAATTTCCATGTTAGAAATGTGGCTTCTCCTTAGATCTAGACCCCTGTGTTAAGTGCTGCTGTACATGCTAAACAGCTATCAGAGAGTTGTGATAGTTGTCATTTTAAATGCCTAACCCACGTTGAGAGAGATCCTTGTATATAATCAGTAACAACATGTTGCATTGATGCTCTCACTGAGGCGTCAACCAGCTCCTAATGTGAAATGAGATTGCAGGCCAGTCAGCGTCCTCCTAATGAATCAAAGTAATAAATGGAATTAGCTGTAAATGGATCTGCTTGTGATGTGATAACCAGCAGTAATTTATTCAACAGTAATAATCATCTGCTGTGAAATTATAACAGCGGTAGAAGAGACAGGGAGCTCAGTTAGGGCAGGCCGTGATGACATGTTCAGCTCACTCAGGGACGATGCGATGTCAGCCTCAATCTAGATCCAGGACAGAGGAGGGAGCACCTGTGTGGAGCCTGAACAGTGTCTTTTTAATGACCCACGCAGGACTGATCTACAGTCTTAATTCACAAGATACACGGAATAGAAGTTTCTTCCAGAAGCGTTGACGCCTCCCAAAACAAAAGTGCACAAAACTCTTGATTTTTTCATTCAATATTTGACTTTATGCACTTAAAGCTATAGTGCGTAACCATAGACTGTTTATAGAATGGACAGCGTCTGCCTCCTCGATGGGTGAAACCACTCCGTGAACAGCACCCTCTAGCGAAAGGCTGCAGTATAGGTCATAAATCCCGCCTCCGCCAGCAAAGCTTATGGAGCTGTGGACAAACTTCAGAAATTTATTACACAGAACATAATTTTTCTCCCCCCTGCTTGTGATGTTGACATGTACTTATTGTAAGACTGGTTTGTGCTCAAGTCCTCTATTTTGCCAGACTCCGCAGTTGATCGCAAAATTTCTATTTTTTCTGGATGTGGGAGCATGCTGGTTAAATTCAGCACAGAAGTGAAAGGTTTATAGGCAGCATTTCACCCTGATGACACCATGGATGAGGAGATGCTGATTCTAAAAGTCTAGAAGAAGATTTCCTCCTCTGGAAGAATACAATCTACTGCTTATATGGTTAGCCTTTATGGCTAAAGACAACTTGTTATCCACCACGAAATTCGCCTCACAAACAGATTCAGAAGGAATTGGCGTATGGCGAAAATCGGAGCCGTTCTGAATGCAGTGTAAATATCGGGTTTCACACTACAGTTTTAATGCACAAGTGGTCTGATTGACTACAATGAGAGTGAATGCGTCTACTGTTAGTGTATACATTCCTGTGCAGTTCATCAGGTCATTCTCCTGAAATATTTGACCTTAGAGGGATATGATATTCAGCAGAGCAGGTGAGTGAAGTGCAGCAGATGAGAGGATGAGCTGCATGGAGAGTCAGCAGGAGGACGGGGGCTGTTACTGCAGCAGCAGTCTGACTGATGAAACCGATAAGTCATCAGGACATATTCATATGCTGATAGAGAAAGGCCTGAGTTCATGGCAAATTGCCTTTGGATGAATCGCTACCTTGAAGCCATGTGTCACACACACTCTTATGGACAGAGTTATACACACTCACACCTTGGAGGAGGGAGCCTAAACTTTAAATCTGGTTGATTTCTTGCAGGGTCAGCAGGCCTGTGCCTCCAAACCTTTGATGATAAATGACCATCCATTCACCTAAAATGGGAATCCTCTCAAAGAAATGCAGTAATTGACTCATTTTTCACAAAGCGATTGAACAGGAAGAAGTTTCCTCCTGACAGGACAGCCGATCAAACAGAACTCTCAGCCAAGGACATCCGCAGTTATAATTGTCCCCCGCTGCCTCTGTTCAGTATACATGAGCAATGTGCTGTGTAGGCTGAGGGTCCTTATTACAGAGGTGAGAGGAGCAGCAGCACACAGCACATCGATGGTCTTTATGGCGGTTATTCTTTGGCATTGTTAAAGCCTTTTACTTCTTTTCCGAGAAACACTTATACAAGGTCTCCTTTTCTATGAATTCACGAGACACTAATACAATTGATAAATACAAGACATACAACTGAATATCAGTGTATGGCCTGCGTATTTGACATTTCCATTCTTAAGGGGAATTCTTGATTAAGTTTTTCTAAAGGCACAGTAAGGAGCATTCATATCACGGTGATTGAAATAAGAACTGTTTTTCCAGTGTGAATACTGGAAGTCATCTACCGTGGAAAAGATGTGCCTCCCCTGCTTTTACTTTGTCACATTTTCCCTTGAATCTTCATCACTCATTACTGAGTTTTGTGAAAAAATCTTTTAATTATTTGTAAGTGAATATATTAGCTTTAATTAATGGAAAATTAGAGGTTAAAAACTGAAGGTGGCAGTAATACAATATGCTAATTAGCATTAAAAAAACACCTCCTGAATGTTCACACACAAGCACCATCATGACCAACAGCACAGGCTGTTATGTAAAAGCCCCCAACTGTTTATGTCTGATCCCATCCACACACCACTGGGTTTAGCCAGCAGGTGCGAGTGGGGTCAAATGTCTTGCCCAAGGGCACTTCATGTGGACAGCAGGACCTGGAATTGGTCTTCCTGTTGAGGGACAACCTGCTCTATCACTGGGACACAGCTGCCCAAATGGAAGGACAAACCAATCGTGACACAGCTGCCTGAGTTAGAGGATCTTGTTTGTAATATGGAAACAGGAATGAAAAAGAACTAATCTGAAGAAAAGTGAGGAAGGAAATTGGATTGTATTTTCACAGTATTGTCAATCATGTTTGATGTGAACAGCTTGAAATTACAGGCAGAGCCCCTCCTCTCTTGCATTTACTCATGTACCAGGGCACTGATGTGGAATTAAGCAAGTAAAATAATTTGAAATGTTTCCAGATAATCCATTATTTTAATATCAACTACATAACTCAGGCAGTTTTAAATTGAACTGAGTTCATAAATTTCCATGTTTAAGACTTTCAGAATAAAAAACTTGGTTTGCTCTTGAAATCTAGCATGACTTAATATCCCGAGGACTCTTTTTTTGCAGCATCCATATCTTTTGTAGATTGTTTTTACAAGTCCTCCTCGAACTCCAAGACAATAGGACAGATATGGTTGCTGATATCTCTTCATATCCAGTCAGGTCTGCTGTCTTGAAGGATCTCAACAGCTTCTGTTTGGTCTCTGAAAATGAGAATCTCTTGATCAACAGTCCTGGTAAGTCTGGCTATGGTTAAGGATGTCATACCTCAGGTCCTTTTTGCACAGATTAATCCACAGCTGCAGTTTATTCAGGTTGTCCTGAAAATGCCTTTCCTGTCCTTCCATCTCTGAAAGCATCTGGGAGGGTGCCACAGGTCCGGGATGGGCAGCAGACTGAGATGGGCAAGGCCTGTTTCAGGCACCAGTTCTGTGTCCGTTTGCCCAAACATTTGTCAAAGAATCTTTTCCAGCAGTGTGATTAAATCATCTCCTTCAGGCAGACCTGTTAATATCGAGTTGTTTCTTCGACTCCTGGCTTCCAGATCAACCACTTTTCCCTTGAGGTGATGGACATCTTAGAAAAGACCCTCAATTAGAGGTGCAATCCATATGTCTGGAACCAATTATCAGTTTCAACATTAGATATCTTGTCTTTGTAATGTTTTCCAGTGGATATAGGTGGAAAAGGATTTGCGAATCATATTCTGTTTTGATTCACCTTTTACACAATATTCCAACCTTATTTTAACTGTGGTTTGTATTACGACAAAGTTTTCGTATGGCATACAGTGACAGAATTTTGAGTTAAGACACCAACATGATGTATTCCCAAATATCTTGTTGTATAAAGCTATCCAAATATCTTGCCTTTGAGGGATTGGATTACATCAGACAGCGGTGATCTTCCTCTAATGGTGCACTGGAGCACATGGGGATCCACACAGGAGACACAGGTACACTAGTGTGTGCACGGCTCAGGGCATGCATTCACAACCAGCTTTTATATGCAGGGAAGAAAGAACAAAGCGGGCTGTTGCAGAGACACACCGGGTTTGGAGCTTGGCAGGGATGCCCTTGGCGACCCGTACACTTCCTGCATGCAGAGCTGCCAGCAGCTACTTTGACTAATGACCCCTGGGCCCAGGAAAAGTGAGCAGCTCTAGATGAGCTAGTGCTGGAGGTCTACTGGGACTCCGCGGCTCAGTGGTTTGGAGAGGGAACATCCTCGTAGCTGCAGCGTAGCCGGCGGCATTCAGCGGGAAATGTTAGCCATGTGAGTTAATTTCCTTCCACCGCCGTGCTCCTCTCCTAATTACTTTTAATTTGAACAACCATTAATCTTGTTGATGTTTTTATTTCATTCGTCAAGGTGGAGTGGACTTCATTACATTTACCACACTGATTTGCACATCCCATGAGAAAAAGTGTCATACGTGTCTCTTTTGCAAGGCCTAACAATGCTACAGGGTGAATGACACTGCGCAGACCGTACTGATCATGTACTGCAGACCTGTGGCAGCTGTTATGATGGAAAATAATATCCTCTCTGTCACTCTGGGTTTCTTTTCCCCACAGATACTGTCCAGGAATGAGAACATGATGAATAAAGACCAAAAGAGCATGGAATACAGAGCAGGAAAATAGTGTTAATTTGAATATTTGAATAATTCTATAGAGGACATGCTCATATTCCCAAAAATTTCTCTGACCTTCCACTCTCCTCTCTTTAAAGTCAAACTCACAGCGAAGTGCATTATTAATTATTGGAAATCATAAAAGAGGCGAGCTGGAGCTCCTTTGGAGTTAATTATGCACATTACATTCAAGCTGCATCAGCTCTCACAGAGGAGAAACTGAGAGCCCATGCAGGCTCCCCACTTCATGCAGGGCTTAGGAATAATGATTTGTAAAATGGTGTTAAGGACACTCGTTTTGTCACTGTTTTCTATTTGCATGATATCTAAAAAAAATAATTTAAATTCTTACTCAAAACAACTTTTAAAAAAATGTGTTGCTAGTAGATATAGATATAGTAGATACGTGGTGCAACGTATGGTGCCATTACTCAGTGAATTTAGCAAAATGCTAAGCAGCTTCTGTTTTCAGGAGCTTTTAACCTAAAGTAACTTAAAGTTTGTAGCGTATTTTGTCTTTACCTGCAGTGCCGTAATACATCACTGTTGCTTATTTGGTAAGTACGTTAATCAAACAGTTGTCTCATTACTTGCATTACTATAAGTTCTTTATCTATCCATGCAATGAGCCCCCTAGTGGCCCCTAGTTTCTAGCAATGAAGACCGCACAAGGCAAATGCTTGGTCCTTGTGCGCCTGGCCCTGAGTGCAGCTTTTGATACAGTAGACCACAACAATTTATTGGACAGACTGAAGCACTAAGATGGGGTTTTTGGTACAGTTTTAGAGTGGTTCAAGTTATTTCTGACAAACAATAAGGTCTCTGCGTCCACAAATATTTATGGTGTGCCACAGGGGTCTCTTTTAGGTCTCATTTAATTTTCCTCATACATGCTCTCCTCTGGGGCACGCCATGGATAAGCGTGGTGTTTTATTTCATTGCTATGTAGATGACTCTCCTGCTCACTCTACCTGATCCTGGCACTCTGAGTTCTGTACATTTTTTTCTGTTAGAGACTTAAATTTGGATGCCAGACTTTTTTGACTGGGGTGATCCAACCCAGGGACTAACTTATATCAGTGAAGTATATGTATTGTTTAATCAGTGTTCTAACACTTTCCATGAAGTACGATTTAACATGAGTCCTGCCTTTGACAAAGCAATGGAGTGGTGTTATGGAGTTTTTTCTGACATATTTTTAGGACAAGTATACTGTATTTAAAAAGAAACTTAATATTTTTTACAAGTTAAAAACTAGGATTAATTAAAAAAAAATTAATAAAATCAAAAGAAAATGAAAATTATATTGAGCGTGTTAGTAGTGAACATGTTGTAGCAGAGACTTTGATTTTCTCTCTCTGGAAACAGAGGCTCATGCTGTAAAGACATAAATAACTGACAGGGTATTGACAGTTTAACATGCCTAGTTTGCTGAGATTACCATCTTGTGGGGATGCAGGTCATATTTATCATCCTCTAAGTTTAAAATGTTGGTCACTCACATTGGAGCCAAATTGAACCACTTGACCAACATAAAGTACAAAAACTTGTAAAAAAGATGTAATATTGTTCTCTTTATGATAAAAAGTAAAGAAAAAGTACAAAAGTTTGGGTAAACCAAGCAACACTAGTAAAACCAAGTTAAGATTTTAAAATTTGCAGCTAACAAGGTTCTTATTGACCAGAAAGCCAACTTCATTGCCCCAGTAGTGATGGACTTTTACTTTCAGAGGCAGAGAAGTTATCTTTACCAAAAGTGAACAAAGAATGTGAAATTGGTCATAAAAAACATAAAACACACACAGAAAACTTGGTATTTTTGAAACTATCTTTGTAAATCTCACATGTTTACATCTGCATGCGAGGGTGACTGATATCTAAAATTATAACACAGTAAGTCTTACACACTTGTTGCCCTCTGTAACATCAGTTATGAAGTAATTACCATGTTATGTGTCTTCGCGTGGAGTCTCGTATTCACTTGTCCCTCCGGGTTGATTGACACTAAAGATATCTTCAACTAATTAAGCTGCCATTGTTGCATCTGTGTAGATCAAGGCGCTGTGAGAAAACCCAGAAGCAAAGCTGTGAGGGGAGTTTTTGTCCCTGATCCCCTTCCCTTTGTGTGTGCTGACTTAATGGAGTTGATATTATATCAAAAATCTTGCAGTGTGTATCGCCCCTAACCTGTTGTCGAGGTGTGTTGGGGTCCTTAACACAACAGATGGAGCTCCTGGGGTGTGGGTTTCTTTTTAATTACTTTGCCTCCATAAGCAATTTACATGTGATAAGGTGGCTTACAAGGCCCACCAATTAATTCTCACAAATCCTTTTTAATTAATGGGAAGTGGAATTCAGGGCACAAGGAGAAAATTGATTTATAGCTGCTACAACTCACAGTATTTAACCTCGAAAGCCAAGAGGAGTTAGAACCAAACTTTCTACGATAACTTAAAGTCTATCTATCCACCTACTGGGTGTTCATGCTATGATTACCCTGTAAAAAGGGCCCTGTGGTAAGATTGTATATAAATCTCTGGAAAAAAAAAAAAATAGATACTTGTTATATCTGGAATAATGCCAGGAGGTATTGCCCAGGTAAAATCTACATATGAGAAAACACTGGATGTCCATTAACATGTTATTTTTTCAAAGCAGTCTTATTGATGAAAAGAAAAAACAAACAAACATGCAATTGTTCCTTGGGCTATGCCTGTGGCAGCTTTGACCTGGCATGGTGGCTGGTTTGGTTCAGAAATGTGCAATACTTCCAACAGTTAAGTAATATCAAATTTGGTTCAGGTTCTCACTACAAAAGAAATAAATTCTCCACAGTCTGAATAAAATTGAACCAAGACTCACTTTCTTAAGCATACTCAGTATGGTTATTTGGCTTTCACCAGAGTTTAACTAAAAGTTTTCACACCACAGCAAACAAACTTCAGTACTTTGATGAACAGACTCATATTTTTTTAATTGAAACAAACAGATTGCACCTCAAAGCACCCTAAAACTTTTACTTGTATTATGACCATTTGTGCATTGTGTTACACAGTTGGTTGTAATACTGTTGCTGATTGTACACATCCTGTCCCACACAGAATCCAGCTACTGAAGTAATGCCTGAACTATGCTCACTTTACTTTGGTTCGGCAACTGATAAGTTATCATCCAATTCTCCAAAAATGACAATTGTGATAGTTTTTTTACTGATATTATATATTGTTGTCTGTGGCTGTCAATGTCCTTGTCACATAATTACTTTTACGCGCTTGGTGCCTGGGGCCTTAAGGAGTCGATTAGCTGGTTGATTGGTGGGTTTGTTGTTTCATGTGTTGGTTAATTGGTTCTTTGATAGGTTGGTTGGTTTATTGCTATGCTGGTTGGTTTCATTGTTCTGTTGTTGGTTAGTTGGTTCATTGGTTAGACAGTTGGTTCATTACTTGGTTGTTTCATGTTATCATGGTGCATTCGGTCTTCCATCTGCAACATTGCAATCAAAATCTGGCCTGACTTTGAAAACAGTGATGTGATTTAAAAATCTTGTCAGAATTGGCCTCAATTTATGCAGTATATACTGGCTTAAGAGCAGTACTGACAAATACATGATTGAGTCATTGCGCAACCTAAACACTTAACATATAAAGTCTACAGTACTGATATTTGAATGTAAGACAAGGAGTTTGCAACAACTGAAAAAAAATATTAAAAAATAAGATTAAAAGGATGCAAAAATGAAAGGAAATGTCTGTGCATTGTTGGATCTGTTTGCATGTTTTTCACAAGGTCAGAAAACAAATAGAAGAAGCCCTCTCCCCCTCCGCCCTCCCTTTGGAGTTTTATCTCTCACTCTGTGCGTTGATGAGTTTTCCTCGGCCTTGTTCAGTCAAGTGTAAAATCCAGTGTAATACATTCCTTTTTAATTTGGGTCGCCACCAATCGCTGCATACCAATGCAGTCTAGCAAAGCCTATTTGCAGGTGGCTTTTAGTACTTCTTTGCTTTTCATATCCCCCAATGTGCTGACCAACAACACCTCTCAGGATATGATAATTGAGTGATGATGAGTGAAGATGGATCTCATTCTGACACCGTGTGGTTGCAGGGTCAGTGGTGGTCAGCTCTTCTGCTTGAACAGCATATTGCAATATGGGTAAAGTCAAAAAACCACATTCACAAATACCTTTCTTAAATTTATTCTGAAATTTCTCATTAACGTTCCACTCCTGTAGGGAATAATTGACATTTTTCCTACTAATGCTTTAGCCATGTTTGAGCTTTAAAAGTGTTGCTGGGTAACAAAACCATTGACGGCTATTTACTACTCAAACCCCAATTCTCTGTGCTACATCGCTCAGCAACATGCAAAGAGTGCTACCACAGCAGGGACAAGATTTCATTTTAACAACTGTAAAAAAGGTCAGTTTGTTTTTTCTGTGATGTACTTAAGTGTATCTGACCGTATATGATTGTACAAGAGTGTAGACAGTAAAACAATGAAAGATACTCCATATCAAAAATAACAAACCCAACTGGACTGTCTGTCTTTCAGGCCAAACCATATAGGTGACTGACAATTAAAAAGCAGCTGGTGGGCGTAGCTTAAACATACTTGGCCAACTTATCCCAAGTATCCTCATTTTACATCATTTTAAACCTTATTTTATATTATTGAACCAATCAAATTCAGCTGGGTGACTGATAATGCATTTTATGTGATTGTGCCCAACTTTTTCTCCACTATTTGCAAACATTACATCCATACCAATAGTTGCATAAATATGCTGTTAGGAAGATGACAGCAGACAAAACCTTGATGGAAGACTCTATGAAAGGTAGCTGATGATGGGCCTTTGACGTTATCCCAAATATGTTTACAATTGGAAAAGACCAATGTGCAAAACTTAAGCCTTTGTCTATCTGTTCATGCCATCTCATTTGTCCCTGCTGCAAAGTTAAATGGTTTTAGTAGTGGTTTGGAGAAGGGGGGCCTAGAACCGTCCTGTCCTGTCATCTTAGGCCATAGATAAGCATAGAGGCAATTACAGCTTATCAGAGAGTCCCAGAGAGAGATGTGCAGGAAGATAGAATTCACTTCATATACAGAGGGGTTGTTAGTCATTATAACTGAGCCACACTCTACAATCTCCTGGACTTGTTTTGTCTAAGTCTTGGTTTCTAAGTGGTGATTATGATGCAGTCAGGAGGACAGAGGCTGGAGATGGCAACCTTTTGAAAGAAACATCTAAAAACAAAGACAGGGACATGAAATTACTCCCCATGCAGCACTTTTCCCCCCTAATGTTCATTTGTCAAACTCCTTCACCGCACCATGCATAAACACACTCCATCAAACACACACACACACACAAATAGATGTCTTCATCTGCCTTCACACTGGTGTGTGTGTGTCTTGTGTGTGGAGTGAAGGTTGTTGCTGAGTGTGCAGTTTTCAGGGCTGTGCCACCCTGCCTGCTGGCAGAGGCCACTGAAGCCTGAAGAATCTGTCTTCATTCAATACCAAGGCCCCCCAAGTCACTTTGATAGGTCTGGATGGGTCCTGCCTGGTTGAATGGAGTTTGGGGGATAAATTATGTTACAGAAAAGTGTATTTGTTCCTTAGTGTTACAGGACTGCTCTATGGTAAATCCTACACTGGCTCTAATGGAATGATAAAGTCAATAAAAGAAACATGATGACAACCATCAACAAAGGTTTTTAGCATCCTTGTTTTTAATGGTTTTTAACTGTTTGAAATCTTCTCTTTATGATAGAAAATGTGTTTAAGTCTCATGAAATACTCATCAGAATGGTACAATGTAAACTGCGGTGTTCCTCAGGGTTCAGTTTTGGGTCCTTTAACCTTTAAACTGAAACATCATCAGGAGGCATGACATCAAATTTCATAACTATGCAGATGACAAACATGTCTCCTGATGACCCAAGGCCGTTTGATACCTTTTTAACTATATTTTAGTTATCAAGTCATAAATGTGTCTGTCAAGGGGGCCCTAAGGTTCCCCTTGACCCTGCTCTGAAGTTACACATCTACATTTGCTCTTCCAAACATATGAAGAAGATACCACTCAGGACACATTGTAACCAGCAGGTGGCAGCAAAATAAGGACTAATTGAACGTGAAAAGAGAGGCATTCAGTGTCAGGCTTAACCCCGTTCAATATTGTGGGAGTGAGATGTTGAATCTAAGGAACAAGTTTGATGCTGGAGGAGTGGTAAATGAAACACAACAAACTCAGAGAAATTGCTGAAAATAGTAGCCAACCATGAAATGTGATATTTGTAGGAGAAGCTAAAAAAGGGCTGTTTGAAAGAGATCTTTGCAGGAATGGCAGGGAGTTTAAGAGCTTGGGCCTGAATAGTCAGACATCAAAGCATGAACCAGCTCCTTAGAAGGTCAAATTAAATTAAATGTGGTATAAATGCAAGCCATTTGAAATAACAGTGATATAATGACCTCATGTGTGAAACAATAACTGTTCCATATGAAGCTGTGATATGACTGTATCACAAAGCTGCAATGATAATGATCTACAATGCATGAGTTAAAATGCAACAATGATAAGTATCGTTCTTACACAGCAGTGAGTAAGATAGCAACAGTTGTGTTAGAGACAGTTGTGTTTCCAGAACAAGGTGAAATGTGGTGAAATTCCCCCCTCAGGATCCATCTGCTAAATAATTGCTGTTGTTTCTTGGTTCATTGGAGTACCTCGGGAGTTTCTCTGCTTTACTGCAAGGAGGATGTTACACAGAGGCTTTTCTGGTTCATATCAATGGCGTATTCCAATTTTCTCAAAATTGACTTGTCATAACTGAGTCTTAATTTTGCCAATGACAGGTCTTCCAAAATTAATAGCATTTTGAGGTTGAAATGGTTTGCACCTGTGCACAGATATGTGTTTAAAAAGACAGATAAATAGATGTTAAATTACTGCAAAATGAAGCAGGTATGCCATCACAGCAGATTGCACTATTGCTGTTTCTCTCTACACCAAAGCCTGCTGATAAGTGATTGATCAATAACTATTTGAAAGCGCTGCAAAGGAAACTAGAACATTCCCCCAGACTAAAATCCCTGGGGAGTCCCATCAGCACAGATTCTACATTGTTAATGAGGATCTGTAAAAGGGGATTAATCAAGATTTTACATAACAAAACAATTCTGCAGCCACATATAAAGTTATTCCATAATAAATGAGCACAGCACAATGCACATAGATTCCCTCATGCCACTCCTTTATCACCCACATCCCTCTGCTGCACACCATTCAATACTTGAATTCCCCCTGGACTGGTTCCAAATCAATCACATCGGCAGAGCAATTATCCTGCTCAATCACATCAGCCAGCTGATCAGCTTAACTTGTCTGAGTGCTAAATCACACATACTGGCTCACGCACTCTCACGTACACTCACGCACACTCATACACACACAGGTGAGCACTCAGTACAAACATCATTAGTTCTACATTCTATTAAATCTGTGTAATGTCAATCTCAGAACATATGTTTCTTATTTTTAACTCCTTTGCCTTAAGCGTAAGGGTCGGCATAATCAGTGCTAATGGGTTTGTTTCCATGGAAACCAGGGGAGGGAGTAAGCAAAGCTGGTTGCATCCAGATTGAGCTCCTTTCCTCTCTTTTGCAGGTGACTCCTCCACAGCAATACTATAAAAGAATCATCCAGACATATATCCTTGTATATAATATTACTTTGAAAGGTAACTGTGTGTCAAAAATGACATCTGATGAACTAAATTCCATAGTAACTTGAAAAGAAGACATTTGTCCACAGTCGAGTCCAAAAGAAAAAAAAAGAAAGCTGTAAGATGAGCAGCCTATTACAACCTCAATCGTGGTTTATAATCCAAGTACTGTCTCTGACATAGCAAACAGCTGTGCACCCGTGGCAACCCTGGCTATGTCCCTGGCCATTCAAAGTCAAGATAAAACATTGTCAAGAAAATTAAAATCAGAATATCAAGATTAAGTGTTTCATTGTGCACCAATTAAAATCTGAGTAAAAAATACATCTGTAACTATCAGAAAACCTTGATCAAAAACAGCTTGTTTTCCAGCTTTAGGTTGCTCAACTTAATATAGCACAGCACAAAACGGGTATGATCCAACCCTACATGCTTAAGTGGTTTGACCCTGAACCAGACGACAATCCTTTCACTGCTTAAAGGTCATTTCAATTGTCCTCTAAGTGGTGAATCAAGAAACACTATATCACGTACCACGCAGACCTGAATATAAGACAAGGATTTATACTCAAATGTTAACATATATCTTTGCCTATAGATGGTTTCACTCCAGCTGTTTAGCAACAGCAGTGAGAGAAGATTCAAAGATGGAGAGACAAGGTGATTGTCCTGAACAAAGTGGCTCCAAGTCGGAGTGAGGATACCAATTTTAAGATAATGGTTATCAACACAACAGAGTCAATGAACAATTGTCAATTTACCAAGAAGTAAGTGCGGCATTGCAGAGCACAATGTCTGAGGATGGCAAGCATCATGAACTATATCAGAAGTTATCTTTTTATGTCCCAGTCAATACGATACGATGTTATTTTCTCCATGTTTAGAAATTGGGCTTCTGGAAATTAGCTGCCTAGAAAGTTGGAGGCTGAAGTGCAGGAAGGCAAGGCATGGCTCCCAGTGCCAGAAGACGACATTTGGCTTCCAAAGTCCTGAGCTTTCTGGGCAAAGCAGGGGAACTAGTCTTGGGGAAATGAGTGGAGTATTTTTGGGACTGCTTTGGCACAACTCACCAAATACCACAGCGCACTGTTTCTCCAACCGCAATTGGAGAGTGGCCTTCATCTTTGAATGATAGGCTGGGGATGTCCATGAGCCCAGAGGCACAAAGAGCTGAGACCTTGCTAAATAGATATAAATACCTAAAATGTTGACTGATAATGTTTCAAAAACAGATGGAAGTTTATTTCTAATATTTTAAAGATAGTTAATAATACGATCATAAATATCACCAGCCTGGATCAAGCTTAACAAAAAAAAAAAAAAAGCATTTTTCCCTATTTTTTGGCATTGGAAGTTGTGGCTTAAAATACAAATACCTAAATAAGGATACAGGCAAGAAATCAAGTCTGAGCTCAAAGTCCAACAGCATCATGAAACAGGTTGAATAACACATTTTAAACATTACACTGTCTTTCATTTCTGTCTATAGCTTAAAGGTATGGTTGACGATCTGAGAAGCAGTTGAAAAAAACTGGGCCGTTGAGGCAGATTTGAAAAAAGCACCAATCTCTCCAATCGTCAACCATGCCTTTAATTATAAATGCTCAAAAGAAGAAGCCGGCCGGCAGAAGATCCTACACTAGCTTCAAATAGGATACACCATGTTGGATTGCTAGTGACTAGCGGCAGTAAATGCCAGCTCTGCTAGCGAGCATCATCTGCAGCTGCCTGGACAGCTACCGTATTGACATTGCAGAGACTAATAAGAGTTATTTATATTACATGTGCCACAATAAAAGGCAAAATTACCTGTTAAACAAAAAACTCTGCTGTCTCGGCTTCTGTTTTCTCCACCGCTCGAAGGATGACCCGATGTTAATCCAAGTTAGATTCCTCGCTTGGTAGCATTTCCTCTTCGACTTTGCCCTTTCTTCTGTCGGCTTGTGTTTTCTTCCCACTTTTGGCGGTGCAGAGATGTTTTTCTTTCCTTTTTTTTTTGCGTCCCTCTTCATCACAGCTCCAGTATCTAAGCTACTACGCTTCTTTTAGCCGCTCAGCGCTCCGAGGAGGGCCGGGAAAGTGGGAGGGGACGAGTCAGAACTACGGGAGAGGGGTGTGTCGTATACAGCGAGGTTATTGGATGGAGAGGCGGAGCAGAAGATTGACCAATATGAGTTTTTGCAGCCCTGCACCTGTTAGGGTGAACAGGTTTTTTCCACTCTTTTTTCTCTTCACTTTGTAGAGATCGCACTATAGGACCATGATAGCCATATCAACGGGGTTCGTAATAATTACCAATCTCTCCAATTGTCAACCATGCCTTTAATTATAAATGCTCAAACAAGAAAGCTGAAAGAGAATACTTGATATCCTAAAGCATCTTGGAATAAACAGATGTACTTTGTTGCATTTGTGAATCAAACTCAGCATTACCGTCATCTATTTTGAATTCTGCTGAGGCCCTGAATTAAGATGAGCCAAAAACATACACAGGAGAGTGTGAATACATGACTAAGTGACAAAAACATCTTCATAATCACCAGAATTAGTCCATGTGACAGGACGCTTCTGGCAGGTAAGCTCTTTTATCCCCACAGTGGGAGGAAAGCAGAGGTAAAAGATGAAGTTTTTTGAATATCAAGCTCCCCCCAGGAAAGAATCACTAATTCCTGAGGATCTCCATATTTCATACTAAATATTCAAAACTCTATGAAACCTGTACCGTTTTATCCTCTGATCTTATTTGGTAGCTGGTAGCTCCTAATTGGAAAGCGAGAAAAGAGCAGCAATATTTTCTAAGTCCACAAGCTGGCTACTTATCTGTGATCCAGTCTGGGCTCAACAGTGATGCAGTAATGCCCTGAAGGGGCTGGAAGCCTGAATGGGGATACTGCAGTCCAAGCACAGAACAACTACAGAAAGCAATGCCAATAAAAGAGTGTAAGACAAGCTGAACACGGCCTCTGAAGCGGCCAGCTCGCAGGGGAAAGCTGCAGAAATCGCTGTGTGTGAGCGCACATACAGAACACGCCGCTCTATGTTGGGGTCTTTGTTCTGCGTGTATTCGCAGCCTCATTAACAACACAACAGCTCATGTGGAAGCAAGGCACATCCTCGACACGGTTACCCAAACAAAGGTGTGGACACGCTGACCTGTGGCCCTCGCTGATTGCCTGTTACCAGTCCTGTGCGCTCCCGTGGCCCTCTGATGCCTGAGTCTAATCAAAAGTGAATCTGATGATGAGTTGTCCTCTGTTGGGGCTGATTTGATACATATCAGGTCACCTCACCTCCCCTTTCTTAACAGCCCCTCCACCTTCCCTGCAAAGAGAAAAAAAAAAAAAAAAAAAAAAACACAAGAAGAAAACTAATAATTGAAAGTGAGATAGCAGGGCAGGACCAAAGGGCAGAGAATTGTAGCAGCGAGCACTTCACTTGGAAATAAGGCACATCCAATCCTGGAGGAATCAGGAGTGCCGGCGCTGTATTCTCTGCAGCCCTCCCTCTCCATTTGTATTCAGAGACTTGAGCTGTGTGGCTCAGACGAGAGCAAATTCAGTTTCTCATACAGAGACTCTACCCTGATGCTTTTTGTACCAGCCACAAAATGACCCCTATTCTCACTCTCCATGTTGAATTCAAAAAGCCACATCAACAACAGAAGGGCTGTGTTTGGGTTGTTCCTCATAGTGGACAGTGTTTGCTTAGATTGGCTGAGAGAAAGTGCAGAGGCAATGCTAGTTGTATAAATTTCACTCCTAACAAAATAACAGGATTTTCACACTCTGTAATCTGTTAAAGTAACAGGCAGCAAAAAGTTTTTTTCCAGTCTTTGAAATACCCAGTAAACTCAGTGATTCCTCAACAGGTGGACATAAAGTTACAGCTGTGAGCGGGCAGATGTTAATGTCAGAACTTTTTATTAAGTAACTTAGTATTCATCAAAGCGTGTTTTAACAGGAAAAGGAACAAAAACTCTTAAAAGGGACTTTAAAGATTTATCTGATGCCAAAACTGAAAACTGGTCTTGTCTCTTTCGTGTGCTCACTCTGTTGAGATAGGGGCATGGTTACCATTGTGTTACTTTACCTCTACTTTTGACAGTACTTTATAAACTTTAGGCAACTCAAGACACCCGTTTCTGATTTCTTTGTAGAGCGAAATTTTGTCCTTTTTCCTGATATAGGATTTAGGATATAGGATATAAGCAGGCCAGTTCAGCACCTGGACTATCACACTTCTGAGCCATGCTGTTGTAGTATGAGCAGACTGTAGTTTGATATTGCCTTGCTGAAAGTATGAAAGGTCTTAAGGTTTGTTACACATCGGCGAATTAGACTTCGCTAATTCACTGGTGTGTAATAACCTTTAGTTCATTTGGTCATCATGTCACGGCAGGGCACAGCGCTGAAGCAATGTATGTTACATTACATTTATTTACTCTGTCCTTAATACGCTTAGGCATAAATAATCATTAGCTGTTCTGGATCATGTATGGTTTCCTCAGTGCTTGATACAGTTTCAACAGGAGATGGGGCAGCGCCACAAAATGATCCAGGAGCTCAAATTGTACCCTGAGAAATTCCGACAATCAGCTGACTCCACGTTTGCAGAAGGAGAAGACAAACTACAGAGAGCCAATTGATCCAGAGCAACAGCTTGCCACATGTCTGAGATAAGATTTATATTAGGCTATAAATTTATAAAGGAGTTCGCCTGTAAATGTTCTCAAAATTCCCTACAGGGGTGAAAAATTACAGTCGCTTTTTTCGTTCTGCAGAAGTTCGTAGCTGGTGTGGAAGCTTACATTGACTTTATGAAGTTTTAAAAAAGGGCTAATTGTTCACTTCGCTAATTCACTGGTGTGTAATAACCTTTAGTTCATTTGGTCATCATGTCACGGCAGGGCACAGCGCTGAAGCAATGTATGTTACATTACATTTATTTACTCTGTCCTTAATACGCTTAGGCATAAAAATCATGAGCTGTTCTGGATCATGTATGGTTTCCTCAGTGCTTGATACAGTTTCAAGCTGAATATGTGGATGTAGGGACATACATAGTTCACAGACCTTGTTTTTTTGGAGCGTGATTAAGAGCCCATGCAGTGACTTCTACGACAGAGTCATGTCTGTTTTTACTGCATTGCTGCCTGAGAGTTGAAATGGAGCACATTAGCCTTGTCCCATTTCTCCAGATTCTCTGAGTCTCTTTTTATTTGACGTTTTTACACTTTTAGTTAGGACAGCCAAAGAGAGACAGGAAATGCAGGGAGTAGAGAGTGGGGGGAAGACATACAGCAAAGGGATTGGCAACAGTAACACTTTCCTGACCCATTTTGTATTGAAGATGATGAAAACTTAGATTTTTTTTTTTCTGAAATTGTTTAACCGTTCGCTCAAGCAGTCTCTCACAGAACAGTGAACCTCTCTAAATCTCAGCCCATCAAGAACACCCTTTTCACACAGAGTTGGGTTACTAGCCTGTTGCAGGTCTGGTTTTTTAGTTGGAGGATGTCCTTTTAGGTGCCTGAAAGCATAGCTTTGACCCCCTTTTCAGGGTTTTGCTGTCTTGGCCCTGACTTTTATAAAACATGATGCCTAAATTTAAATTAGCCTGATTTGCTGGTTTCATTTAAATTAATGGTTAGAATGATTTACCAACTATCAAAATCATTATTTATTAACTTTTTTAAAGCGCCCCAAGTTTTTGGAGTTGGGGTTGTGAAATCAGCTGACTCAGCAGCTTCCCAGCGTTACAATAAAAAGTCTTAATCAGCAGAAGAGAGTTAGAAAAAGTAAGGACACCACTGTATTAAAGTTGATTCACTCCCATATCTCTGAAGCAGCTCATCTGGCACAATGTGCTCCACTGCAGAGCACAATACAAAGTAATTACAGCTAATCTACTTACTCTAATCACTCTTAATGGGAAATACATCAGCACAGGTTAGCTGTGACCTATGGAAAAAAACCAAGCAGCCCTCTGTACCCTCCGGTAAGGAGTAAGAGGTGGGGGGTATCAGTGGGAGGAGGCGAGGGTGTCACCGAGGAACAGTGTGGGGATTTGGGCAGAAGGCTGATAGATGAAAGTGCTATTACAGGTCAATTACGACTCATTTGAGGTTTTCAACGCCGCCGATGGCATTACACAGCCAATTGCACAGATGATGGTGGTAATATGAAATAAGTGGCAGTGAAGGGGACAGGGGGCTGTCTTAGTGTCATCCAAAGAGCCAACGGGTGGAAGACAGCCAGCAAAAGAGAGCTTAACATAAGGAGAAACACTACCTGTGGTGTTATTAGCACAGAGTTCTCTTTACCAGGACTTTTCTCCATCTGTCATGATCCTACACAGCTGCACATCTCAAACATCACAGCTTGAGTTTAAGCAGTAAAATGATAAGATTATTAATGAGCCCCGCAGCATGGCAGAGTTACGAAAAAAGGCATTAATCTCTAGAAATGGGAGGATGCAGTTTATTTGCTTTTGCATGACTAATATGACCCCTGCTTTCTAAAATTTGTGACTATAATCTTATCAAAAGTAGGCAGCGAACACAGATTGATCCCATGACACTTTTTAAAAAAAAAAATAAATAAATTATTTTTTTAATTTCTATAATGTTTCTTATTTGTTGCTGAGTACTGCCTGGGTCAAAAATTTAAGATCCTAAATCCTGTACTAGGATTTGGGGATTGATTTTCTCTTCCTAAGTCTAAATGCATGCAAATGGAGGCTGAGTAGTAAACACAACCCCAACATAAGTTAAATGGACATATAAAAAGACAAAGCTGTTTCGTTTTATACACGAATGGTACTAAACTGTAGAAGCGAAGGTGTTTTCATCGTGTCAATCGATGGCGTAGTAGAGGACTACCCAATAGTAACAAGCATAGACTGTAAATAGAATGGATGCCGTCTGTCTCCTCGCCAGGCCACCCCAAGAACAGCACCCTCTGATGACGGGCTGCTGTATAGGTCATAAATCCCGCCTCCTCCAGAAATCCCTATGGAGCTGTGGACAAACTTTCGAAATGAATTACACAGAATATAAATGTTTCTCCCCCCATGGTTGTGATGTTGAAATGTAGTTATTGTAAGACTGGTTTGTGCTCAAGTCCTCTTTTTTCTGTACAGCTCTATTTTTAAGTTATTAGGAGGTTCATGTTTTCTATGATTGACACTTGATACAGCCTAAGGGTGTACAAAGATTGCGAAATACTGAGAGCTTTTTTGGCTTAAAATCTGTATACTGGCGGAAGGCGGAACCAAGTTGTCCAGAGTTTATACAGTCTATGGTAACAAGCTAAAAGGGGCATAGTCTAGTTAAATTGCCTAGTCCCTATAACTGTAACTCATCTGTGCATGTAAATATACTGAGTGTGAGTCATGTTGCATACAAACCACAAACTCTGCATTTTCACATAGCTTTATTGCTTATTTTTTTGAAAACATAGTTGGGTTGTTGAATGAGAAGTCTACTGTGCAGTTCACTTCTTCCGATCTCACACTATACATTCAAGACTCACTAAAGTGTCAGGTTAAAAGAAGAGTTTTTGCAGCACAAGTGAAGTTCAAAGCGTCAAACCTTACCAGACGCAGGAGAAAGCCTTAAAGAGCAGCTTCAGTATCAGACAGCTGTCTTTACACAGGATAAAGCTCTGCAGAGCTCACCTGGGGTCTGAACTCAAACATTTGAGGGTCAGTATGACATCAGCTGAAACAAAGATGTGAATATGTGGCGGGTTATCTGTCTAATCCTTCAGTTGCTGCCGCTGAAGGTGAAAACATGCGAGCACGAGTTCACTTACAGGGAAACACACAGTCATTGATGTTAGACTTGATGCTATCAATGAAAATACCAGCCCGTGTGAATCCTCTCCCCTTAGTTCTTCCTTTGTAAGAAAATATAAGAATAGAAATCCTACCAGAGCTTGCTATAATACTCTTTGAGAAAACTGCCTTGAGATGATAAAAGATGGAATTTATCTCTGCTCTTCAGGAAATTGAACTTATGGCCTTCTTTACAAAGAATAATGCCTTTCCCAGCACGTCAATAGAGAAAGTTCAGGCCCCAGATTATCCTTTCTGGTGTGTAAGGAAAGCTAGAAATGTACCCATTCAGAGGGACTCTGAGTCAGACTAGGTAACTTGGGTTTGTAGACAGCAAGTGCATCACAGACACATTCAGATATTCACAAAGAATAGATGTTAATGTCTTTATTCATCTCAGGAATCTAAGAACCATAGATTCTTCTGGTTGTTTGATATGAGCTGATGTGAGTCATGTCAGCACAGTCATAAGAGTAATGAAAGTGATTCAGTATAACTAAGGTGAGCTGGGTATGTGAATGAAAACAGCAGAATTTCTCACCCTGACTTTACCTGAACCAGGGTTTGACAGTAGGAGTGAGGCGCAGCTCAGGGGAGCCAGTTCAGGATCATCAGAGTTCCACCTTTGTTCTTTGCAGATGATGTGATTCTGCTGGCGTCTTCCGGCTGGGGCTTCCATCAGACATTTGGGCTGAGTGTGAAGCAGCTAGGATGAGAGTCAGCACCTCCTAATTCCAGGTCCTGGTTCTCTGCTGGACTGCTCTCTGGGGTGGAGAGTGATTCTTGGAGTCTTGTTCATGAATGAGGGCAGATTGGTTTGAGAGATCGACATGCAGATTGGTGCAGCTGAGTCTCCAACCCTCACCTATGGTCATGGTCTGGAAAGTGACTGAATGAGAATGAGACTACTGCAAGATCCAAGTGACTGAAATGAGTTTCCCCCAAAGAAGATTGGACATCTGAAGGGTGCTCAGAGTAGATCTAGTGTTGCTTTACATCAAAAGGAGTTGAGGTAGTTTGGGCATTTGACAAATTTGCCTCCTGGACCCCTGTCTTTGGAGGTGATCTGAGCACATTCGCTTGGAGGAGAACGTGGGGTAGACCCAGAGCTCACTGGAGGGAGTACAAATCCCACATGACTTAGGAATGCCTTGGGATCTTGAATAAGTGGCCAGAAAGTGAGAAGGCGATGTGAGTTGACTTGCCTAGACTGATGCCTCTACAGATAGATAGAGACATAAAGCCCACAGAAAAAGAAAAGGAGAAGAGTTGACACCACACCACACCAATGCTGTACATTGAAAGCAGCACATGATCCACTCCTCCAGCCTGGTGCTGTATTAGGTCCTTACCTCCCATAAAACTTGTGAAGTCAGATCTCCAAAGTTAGCTGCTGAACTCTCATTAGCATGTTTAACTAGTTGTTCTTTTAGATTTTCACAGATTGGCTGCTAGAGTGTAAATCTTGGCAAGATTTTGGGCACTAAGAAGTAATCCCAGTTGTCTGGCTCCACCCAGTGACACCCCAGACAGTCAACAAGCATACAGCAGTCCAAAAAACTTATTTCACCCTCAACCTGAAACAGCTTTATGATAAACAGAATCCCTCCTCTCTCCACTTTTTTTTTTAGCTCAAATCAGCAGATGGAAGAGTATCTTCAGTGTTTTCTCACATCCTGTGTTTAATTAGGTTTGGTTCAAATGTCTTATGAGGGGAGTTTTAGTATGCAAAATTCAGCCCAGATGTGACTAAAAGAACTGGGTCACCCACTTCCAAAACTCCAGTCAATTCAGAGCTCACATGTGTGTCAGCTGTACAGAGTGCTGAGTTTTTACCTTGTTGCATTAGACAATTCACTTGTGTGCACAAGTTTATTACACAGTAAAATTAAGACCAAAGTTATCACCTTAGGGGGCTGCAGGAGCTGCCTGCATCACAGCGTTTTGGATTAAGTTTGGAGTAAGTTAGCAAATTCGTTGGACCAGTCCCACCGCAACATACTATCAGGCTTTTTCAAAATCCTTGGATTTTGACGGCACATGAAATCAAGTTCTCAACCTTTTTGAATCACAACCCTTGGGATTTTGGCCCACGATTAGATGCACATTAACTAGATTATCATACCATCCAACTGGGGTCACTTCAAACTGGAAGTGTATGAATTAACCCGGTGTGCAGTGAGGCTTAGCAATGACACAGGAAGAATGTCAGAACCCTAAATGTCAAACAGCAATAACATCATGTTTTCAGTGTTTGTACTTTCCATGGATTCAAAATACACTGTTTACTTTGGGCTGATATCAATAGCAATACCAATAGAGACTTTTGGTAGTTCATGATATCAAAAACTGATATTTGGAAATGGTGATGTCAAAATGTAGAATTTGGAATATGAACAAACTCCATCAGTGAATTTTGTTGCAACAGATGATTGGCTCTAATTGCAGATGAATGATCAATAATAAACCTTTGGCCTTGACCTGATTCTTGAGATTGGAATTTGGGACCTCCCTTGGATGAAATTTTCATAGCAAAGGCCTAAAAAATATACCTTTATTCAAAATTATCTGATGACCCCAAGCGATCATCTATCTATTGGGATCTGGGTCCTTGGGTTGAAATCCAATGAGCTGGAGGACAGCACCCAGGTTAAGGAAATAGAGAGGTACAGACAGGGTCATAGTTTGACGATTTTGTCAACTGTCAGTGTCCCTGGTTTTAGAGACTTTTGTATAAACAGACTAAAAGTCATACAATTTTAATCCATTACATAGAAAACCACTTTTCCTTTTTTTTTTCCTGTTTCTGGACAGCATTCAGCAGATAATTGGCTTTCCATAAATTTCTTATCTTCTTTAATTAAAAGAACATTTTTTAAACCATATGGTCATTGCAAGAGACCTCATTAGCTGGAGACTACAGGGGTCAGCAACATTCATATAAAACCCGAATGAAACTGACTGAATAAAGCAGTAGGAATTAAATCACAGGAGGTTATTGCAGCACTCGTAATTCATAACACAGATCAACGAACAACACTGTACCAAGCATGTAAAGAAGAATATTTCTAACTAAACCTATCTCCAGAGAACCAAAGAGACAAGTCGGGCATCCTTTTTGAGACACAACCCCTTTCTACTACTGTTAGCTTGTATGAAATAGGTCTGAGTAAAGCCTAAAATGAGGATATTTAGGGCACTTTTAAGGCAAGAGAAAAAGAACCTGCCAGTTCATAATTAGCGTCTTGAATAATTTAAACACTTGAGTCTGAATGATGCAAGAAAACATTTCTTTTTTAACCAGTTTTTGCCCAATTTGCAAATACTCAATAAATGCAAATGAGAAATGCCCCCCATCTTGAGACCTTCATCCTACGACCCTTGATTTCACATAACTTTGCTATTGCTATCACTGTTGCGATGCGTTATTTGCCATTTAATGGGAAGTTTTTTATAAAGGGAAAATATTACTAGTAGAGAAACCAAAATTGGCACAAAGGTGTTCACTGTAGTCCTAAGACGTTTAGAATAGGTGTGGTCAGGGGGTGAAGCTTTAGAGTCAATCTGTTATGCCCAAAATTAAATAAATAAAATAATTAAAAAATAATTAAATAAATAAAAAACTGCCACAGCACCATAACTAAGCTGGAGATATGTGTTTTGCGCTTTGAGGGTCTCTGATAAAGCGCTATATGAAATCTGATGCATTATTATTATTATTATTATTATTGTCTACACCTCAAAAGGGTCTTTAGAACCCATTTGTAAAACCATGAAGGTCCACCATTTTCCAACTTTTGTTACCTTGAAACAGGAAGTAGTAATTTGAAGGGGTTAAAATGCTTGTAGAGTCACCAAATGGGGTATACTTGAATTTAATGGAAAAATACAATTTGATATGATATTGTTTGATATGGGTCTAGTAGAGAGGAGTGACTTAGTGCATCATTGAACCATGGTCAGCTTCCAAAGCTCAGAAAAATTAGCTCCCAAATCACATTTGATACTGGGGAATTTTCCTTTTTTGGGCTAAGGTCTTGTGCACTGATTCACAAAGAGTCTTTCAGATCCATGTCATAAAACTAATCGTAAGTCTGGAGTTTTGGTTAAAAACGGCTAATTGCCACATTGTGCATCCCATAGAAGCTTGATTGGATTGAGATCTGGGGAACTTGTAGGCCAAGTCAACATCTTAAACTGATAGTTGTACTCCTAAAACCAATCCCGAACCATTCACTTGGTGTCAGGGTGCTTGATCCTGTCGAAAGAGGCCACAGCTATCAGGGAATACTGTGTCCATGAAAGGGTGTACATGGTCTGTAACAAAGCTTAGGCAGCTGGTTCATGTCAAAATAACATCCACATGAATGGGGACCCAGGGTCTCCTAGCAGAACATTGCCTAAAGTATCCCACTGCCTCATCTACCTTGCCCTCTTTCCTAAGTGCATGCTGGTGCCATGTGTTCCCCAGGTGAGCCACAATGGCCCTTGTCATACTCACTCAAATCCCTACGTCAACTTTCATCAAGTTTGAGGACAAAATGTTCCCTTGGTGCCTAATATATCCCACCCACTAACAGGTGCCATGATGAGGAGATAATCAGTGTTATTCACTTCACCTGTCAGTGGTCATAATGTTATGCCTAATCATCGTACATCTGTGTTCACTTACTGTCATTAGGCAGTGTCACATCAGAGGTAGTTCCTGTCCATGATTTCTTTTCAACCAATCATAATCGAGCATAGCTAACAGCATTAGAAATAAAAGAAAAATTACAATCAAAATTAAATTCCTCTGTTGTTTTTTACATCATAAACACAGAAGAGACAAAGAATTCACAGCAGACTCTGTAAATGGATCACCAGATTTTTTTCTCCCTTGCCTCTCATGCAGAACTTCTGTAAACACGGCCTAATTTCCAAGCAGCTGAAGGAAAGACCCGCAGAAAATCTGACTGGATAATAAAACTGCAAAAAGCAAAAGTTCAGAGAGGGACAAGTTCGATGCAGGACATGATACAAAAGTTGTTACTGTGTTAGTGTGTCAGAGAAATGTATAATTTAGTGTTAAATGACTGAGTTTGAAAGACAGCAGCAGCAGTAGTTAGTTTCCAAGTGCTAAAGTGTGTGGATGTACACATGTGTGTGTATTTGTGTATGAGTGTGTTTCTCCTGAGGCCTGCAGACAGTTGAGCTCTGCAGTGAACTGTTGTGACAAAGTCATTGCTCATTCTGGTGTTTGAGCCCTGCGCCTGTTCCCACTGCCAGAGATGATGTCTTTGTTAAAGGGCAGGTTTCATTAATATTGGAACAAAGTCATTGCTGGCAAAGATTAAAAACCCAAGGAAAGGATAAATAAAGCTTTGTTGAATAATGCAGCAAATGAATAATTCAGCTGTGGGACACACGGCTGTGTGAAACTGGAAACTATCTAATGTGGAAATTAGGAATGTGCCTTTATTTGTACATTTTCAATCTCAGCTTTTCCTGTGCAGTGTCCTGTTGGCGTGTGATATGACAAGCCTTTGGAGTGCTTTGCATTGCATAACAAGCAGGCAGAGTTCAGGCTTGTGTTTTTGAAGCCAGGCATCAAAACAGTTGTAGAGGAGAGGGAGTGCCTGCCTAATTAACCCAACAGCTTTAACTACGGAGGAAGGAATCTCTGAAAGATCTCTGAAAACACCCTTCAGCTTACACCGTGTGAGCCGTCTTTTTATCCCACTCCGAACTCTGACAATGATTCAGAAAGGTGTAATTGTGTAGTAAATGAGAACGCGGGTGAGGCTGATTAAAAATCAGTGTGTCACCCGGTCTCTAAACTTCCCACTGTCACTGGAGTGTGTGAGATACAAATCCAGGAAAAAGTGTGTGTGTGTGTTCAGAAAGTCCTCTGAACACAGCTGACACTAAAAAAATAGGTCACATCTTACACTTGTTACAACAAAAGCTGGCCTGATGAGGCAGTTGCCATGGAAACCATTGTCTCTGTCATGGTGGTGTTGTCGTACATTATGTTTTTTCTTGACAGGAGTTTCATTTACATACAGTATACTATATTCCCACTTCAATGGCATGAGATCCAGCGAATCTGTCGATCTATTGGAAGAAGTTCCCTTGGGGTCAATTAAAGGGATAGTTCAGTTTTTCTGGAGTTGTTTGTGTTAGTTTTAATAGTTAGTACATAACCTCAGCAGGGGCTAGTCACGTCAGCCTGTTTGGAGGGAAATCAATGGGAGAAAACAAAAAACAAACAAACAAAAAAAAAAAACAATGAGCCAACAGCTGCAGTAGACAATGCCAGCTTTACCAAGTTATTTTTCAAAATTTAATCCAACCAAAAGGTCTGACTGTAAATACTATGGACAACTTGGCTCAGCCTTCCATCATTATACGAATTTGAAGCCAAATTGCTCTCGGTATTTCCAGGATTTTCTCCACTTCTTAGAACCACCACTTGTGCAGTAGCATTATACACCTTCCACGAGAGAGTCGCTGTGATGATGCTCTGCTCGAACAGCGTATCCCCGGGTGAGCTACGCAATCTTCATATGCCTATAGGCTGTATCAAGTGTCAGTCATGGAAAACATGAACCCCTAATAACTTTTACTTTTAACTTTTAAGAATAGAGCTGTACAGAAAAAAGAGGACTTGGGCACAAACTGGTCTGACGATAACTACATGTCAACATCACAACCAGGTGGGAGAATAAATTAGATTCTGTGTAATTGATTTCTAAATTTTGTCTACAGCTTCATAGGGATTGCTGGAGGAGGCGGGATTTATGACCTGTACTGCAGCTTGTCACCAGAGGGTGCTGTTCTCATGGTGGCTTCACCCAGCAAGAAGACAGATGGCGTCCATTCTATATACAGCCAATGGGTCAGACAGAGAAGGAGCTAGATGTCAAGCTGTGAGGTTTAAGTCGTTTCAAAATGTATGTCTGAAATGCGTTTAAATATGTTTGAATTGTTTGACTTAAGTAACTGAAAAATCTTTATCTGTTTTTACCAGATACCCACCAAAGTTGTGAGTCAACTCCAAGAATGAGCAAACCATTACAATCCTTGAATCTAAGTCTCACAGGTTCAGCAGCTTTTTGCTGTGTAGCATATTTAGTGGACCATAAAAAATAGTCAAATTTTCGTCTCTTATTGGACAGGAGGATCCATTTCTCTTGTTCACGATGAAGAACAGCTCTGAAAGTTTCTGAGACAGTTTTATTCATGTTGTAAAGAACAGGATGTCCTCCTGGAGAGAACAGATCGTGAAGACTCATAAAAACTCATCTAAGAGCTGGACTGGTACAGTCCGCTCCGAGGAGAGAGAGGGAAGGGGCCCTGTGTGATAGCCCAGCTGTTTTTTTCATTGACTGGATAAAATGCAGAGAACCGAGGAGATTCATCTTGCCAATAAAAACTGAAGACAGGTAAACAAATCAAAGGGTTTTAAATCACAGTCCATCAAACCATCAGGCCGGCTGCTCATCCATGATAACTGCAGAAGTTTGGAGCTGATGCTCAAAAATCAGTTGAAAAAGTGATAGAGAGAAAAAGAGAGAAAATGGGAACATGATGTTAACTGTGTGAAGTTTACAAAAGGGTAAAAGACAGTGAAGATGGAATAAAGGACATTACACACCGGCGAATTAGCGAAGTTTGCAAAGCGAATACTTTACTTTTTTTTAAACTTCATAAAGTCAATGCAAGCTTCCACACCGGCTACGAACTTCCACAGAGTAAAAAAGCGACTGTATTTTTTTCACCACTGTAGAAAATTTTGCAAACACTCACAGGTGAACTGCTTTATAAATCTATAGCCTAATATCAATGACAGACATGTAGTGCACTGTTGCTCTGGATCAATTGGTTCTCTGTAATTGTCACAATTTCTCCGGATACAATGAGCTCCTTGATCGTTGTGTGGTGCTCCGCCATCTCCTGTCGCAAGGTCAGCATTGGATGTACCCAGACACTTTGATTCTTCTTTTTCTTTATTATTTAATAGGCTTACAACCATAACCAGGTCATCACCACTTGAGGATATAGTCGCCATTGTTTCTCCTCCTTCTCTCTCCCCCCTGTTCTCCAGTGGTGTATTTTTATGTAAATATGCTTATTGTATTCACGTCGCATCAGGTGTGTATAGGAAAAGGCGTAAGATATTTAGCATTTTTGTGTTGCTTTTTTTGCGTTGCTTCGCTTCAAGTCCTAAAAGAACTGGCTGCATGGGTACAAGTATCTATCTACCAAACAAACAACAGTTTGTGGACTGCCATGCAAATGAGGGGTAAAGGGTGTAGCTATTTTTCTTTGCTGCTCTTCGTGGGAAGTCCTTGTGAGTCACAGCCATCTGAACAGCAAGTTATACAAAATCTGTGTATAAAAGTAGATATATGCTAAAACAACAGTGCGTGCTCGAAACTTACTTTGAAGAAGCTCTACCCTCCAAGTTTTCTTTTGTTTTCTTTATTAACCTCTGAAAATTGAACAAGGTAAAATAGAAAACTATAGATGGTGAGGAATGCAGCCTGCATCACTGCTCTGTCTCAGCAGATATGGTGTAAAGGGTTACATATCCTATTCACCTAACTACACCAGAAAACTGCCTTAGTGGGAGAGGCCAGGACTCAACAGGTCAGAGGATTTTCAGAGCTCACAGTGGACGTTGAAAACCACTGAATCTGTATTTAACATGGGAAAACCTTGGTCTCATGACTCCAGCTGACCTCCGGCAGTGCTTCTCCATGCTGCTGTCTGAAAGCGCAGCCGGTGGGTGTTGATGGACAAGTAGGCACTGAGCCAAAATGGACCAAACATGAATCTAAAGGGAGTGTAGTATCGCAGTTTGGACACCTGAAGTTTCTCCCCTATTTACTTCACTCTATTTGGTGTCGTGCTTCCTAAATATGTCTTCTTACATTCACAGTAAACAACATGTCATGGTTGCAGTCAGAATATTTATGTTGGTTGTATTTTGGTCTTGTTCAAACCCTATAGAGCAGAGCAGTGGATCAGTGAGCTGCATGAAGGGAAGCACATGTACCATTGAGGATTGTGCTCAGTAAAGGTCATAGAGATATACAATTGGACATCACTCTCCCTTCTGGGCAGAGCTGTTTTCATCATACAAAGGTGCCAAAACTTTCATTTGTCACCAAATGCTCTACTGGTCCCTGTGTTTTCTGTAACACCTGTGCTGAACGTTAAAACAAACGCAGGCAAGAACAGCAAAGCTTGGTGTGTAAAAACATTTCCCTTCCTCCAACTTCAATAAAAACCTCCCCTTCTTTCCTGGCTCGACACCAATTGCTTCCACTGGCGCTATCAAAGCAGCTGGAGTTGCTTCAGTAACATCCAATATTAACTCATAATAATGCTGAGCTGGAGAATCTCCAAGATAGGACAACAATTTGCTCACAAAGAGATTAGGGCTACTTGTGCAGAATAAATATGTGAATATAACAGAGTACAGACCATTAGACATGCTCAACACAGTTAGAGCTGCAAACAAGCCGGCAGGGCTGCTGTGTGTCACCGCTCCATTGTCTATACTTACTCCCTTAAGGTACATTGCAGGGAAATTAAACTTAATTATTCTGTTTTAACATAATGTCATGGAAAGACAATTACAGTGGGCTGCTGGGTGGAGATAGAACCACCACTGGAAGCTGCCAAAGACAGAAACTTTTTTTTTTTTTTTTTCCCCTGTTTCTCTGCATGGATCGCTTTGTGTGTGACACTCCATCTTCAGCTGGTAGCACTGACAGCTGGGCAGTAACTGCTGACACAGCCAGTTTTACTCCAAAGTCATCAAATATGACAGACTGTATGAGGCTGAACATGAAAGAAATGGATTACCGGGGAGTTGGCTGCACAAAAAACGATTAAAACAAAACAGCAGTTCCTCGAACATCCACTTGAGGTTGGCCCCAGATAAAAAAAATAAAATAAAAAAAAAGTGGGATGGATAAATTACTTGTGACAGTGTAGCTATCTGAGATATGGAATACAACAACAACAAACATACAGGGGACCTGCTCCTACATAGATGGAAAAGGGTTTTTCTAACATGTAATTGTTTTTATTCAACCTTTTCAAATTGTGTTTCTTTAAAAAAAAAAAAAAAAGAAAAGTGCCTCCACATGACTATGATAACACAAAGTAAAGCTGAAATAATTATCATTTAACATTGTCCAAATTATAGTTGGTATTATTTAAAAAACAACAACAAAAAAAAAAAACATTTTTTTTCTGTATTTTCATAGACTTTTGTTCTTCTTGATTTACTTGGATGTAATGTTTAAAGCTTTAAAGCACATATGTAAATAGTTCTGAAAGTAGTTTTTCCAAGCTAGTTCATTTTAGTAAGCTCTATTGCATCCATAGACTATATATACTATGGACAACTTGGTTCCGTCTTTAGTCATAATACAAATTTGAAGCCAAATTGTTCTCGGTATTTCCGGGATTTTCTCCACTTCCTGAAACCACTACTTGCGCAGTGACATTGTATGCATTTGGCAGGAGAGTCACTATGCTAACACTCTGCTCAAACAGCAAGTCGTTATAAGTTGTTGTAGTTACAAGTCTTTTAGTAACTACATGTCAACATCGCAACCAGGGAGGAGAAACATTTATATTCTGTGTAATTAATTTCTGAAGTTTGTCTACAACTCCATAGGGATTGCTGGAGGAGGCGGGATTTATGACCTATACTGCAGCCTGTCACCAGAGGGTGCTGTTCTCACAGTGGCTTCACCTAGCGTGGAGGCAAATAGCGTCCATTTTATATACATCCTATGGTTGAATCTCAGTAAAATAGGAAGCATAGTTATTTTCATGACTGAAACAGCATGTTTTCAGATTAAAAAGAAAACATTTGAATTTTATACAAAATGAGCAGATATTACAATCAAACGAAGTTTATTTCACAATGATTTGATTTTTAGGTATGCAGCTGTGCAGCTTTGCACATGTAGCTACATCTAGATATTGTCATATATTGTTACCCATCTGGTTTCTCCTCCTCTGGCGAGGGTTACGAGGTTGTCACACTTCCTCATTATGATCGGTCAGTAACAGAGAGGTGACGATTATGGGCGCAACAGTTTTCTACAAGATGAGCTATTTTCAGCTGAGAGCACTCAGAGAGCTGAGATGAAAAGCAGCTGACACTGAGTGCTACGAACGCTACACTGCATTAGTTTAGTCAAGGACAAAGGCGCTGCCAGTGTAAAGACAGCGTTAATGGGCACAGACCCTTACCTTGCTAATGACACACTCACACACACATATACGCCTTAACTATTTGGGTCTCTACTACTCTGGTGACTAAGTCCTAAAGCAGGGTTTCTCTTAAAACGCTGCAGACCATAATCGGTATTTCAAAACAGAAATTTATGGACACTTTTATGAGACGACAGGGTCTATCAAAAGTCTGTGTTTGGGGACCACTTGTAGGCTATCCCCCACAGTAAAAGGAGCCACGAGCTGGACTGTGGTGATCCTGAGGTGTATGAGACCAATGTGGCTGACCCCCCTCCCTTCATCCCTGCTGGGATGTTGTATCTGTTTCTGAGACAGAGGGAAGAGGTCTTTATCCTCATTGGCTGGGATCCAGGAGGTCTGTGGAGGAGGTATATTTGTAGTTGGTTGGTTAGAAGGAGTCTGCACCTCCCAGTGGCCTAAACCATGAAGACATGAGACAGACCTTGATTTTTGTGAGGATCTGGATCACATCCAGCACACCGGCATTGCTAAAGCTGTGAAAACTGTCATCAGAGAGCTTCTTTCTGATCAGCGATATCAAGTGTCAGTACTTACTTTTAGTTGTCACTTGATTTGAGGTGTGTTCAAGGACACCTTTTTGATTTTTGCAACTTAATAAAACTTTAAATGAGATTGTGAAGCTGTAAAATCCAAGGAGTGTCCCATGAGGGACATCAAAACAGGAAGAAGGTGGGATATAACATCAGAATACAGGAGACATATGAGAAAAAAAACAGGAGCATTGGAAAGTGTGATGTGGTGACTAGAAATATGAGCCCTTCCAGGGACGATTAGGTCTTGCACTGAGTTAATGTTCTCCATAAAGTAAAGAGAGGCCCAAATTGGCGCAAATTTAAATGTATTCTCTTTGAGCAATATGAGGAAGTTTAAACTGTGGATTATTGGTAGCTTACAGGAATAAATACACCCCTCCCCCCCAACGCCTTCGTTCAGAATCAAGCAATCATGTTCAAACTCATGAAGTCAGTACACACCTACCATGATTTAAAGTGCCTCTGATTAACCAAGAATAAAGTCCAGCTCTTCTTCTAGCAGGCTTTCCTTACATTCTCTTGGTCGCCTCTTACTGCGAAGCTTTGAAAGCATCCGCGGAATCTCGTTGTTCAAAGGTATCAACTAGGAGACGGGTACAAAGGATTTCCAAGGAATTAGATATATTCCAGGAACCACAGTGAAGACAGTCATCATCTAGCAGAGGAAGAATGGCTCAATAGGGGCATTACCAAGAACTGGACGTCTCTTCAAAATTGATGAAAAGATGCGAAGCGAACTCAGCGGGGAGGCTACCAAGAGACCGACAGCAACATTAAAGGAGCTGCAAAAATTTCTACATGTGACAAAAATCTCCTGTAATTTTCTAAATGTCCGGGCTACAAGAAAAAAAAAAAACAATAAAGCGTGGTTAAATTTTGCAAAAACCCATTTGAATTTTTATGAAAGCATGAGGGGAATAGTGATGGGCACAGCAATTCTTTTAGATGTACTTAATCACTGGAATGAGTTCACTAAAAAGATTTGTTTAAAAAATTTGTTTACCAAATCACTGAATCATTTAGCACTTGGCGGGAGAAGCCTGCGACTCCGACCTCCTGAACTGATACACAGCTGAACATTTGAGGATTCAGTTCAATTCATTACTTCTGGGACTGGTTGATGAGAGTGTTTGGCTGTGTTGCTTTGACAAAATGAACTTGTTTATAAGTCATGATGTTTAAAGTGTACTGTCCTATGGTGTGCTATTTGCCAGGTCTGCTTGGTAAATTGGGCTCAGTGAGTGATTCGTTCACTGAATGTTTAGAAGAAGTCACACTGAACATGCACCGTTCCCTCACAAACCACTGCAATGATAGGACATGTCCTATTGTATTCAAGTTGTTGTGGTGGCAATATAGCAGTGAAAAAAAAAGTAGTTTTGTTTGATAAAAATGATTCCTGAGAGTGTAGTTCAATACGTGATTCGTTTACCAAGTGATTCAGGCGTTGGTGGATGGGGTCCCTTGATTGCTGGCTGTTGGCCTGGCAATGCAGTTTCTCACTTCAGCTCAACTGAATTGAAACACGAACGAATCACTTGGGGAAGTGATTTGGTTCAGTATGTTCACTTAATAGATTTGGTTCATTTGAACGAACCATTTGCAAATGACACAACACTATTGGGAAAATGTATTATGGTCTGATGAAGCCACGGTTGAACTTTTTGGCCATAATTCCAAACATTTGGCTTAAAAACAATTCTGGAGATCACCACAAAAACAGCATTCCCAGAGTGAAGCATGGTGGTGGCAGCATCGCGCTTCTAGGCTGTTTCTCTCAGCTGGAACTGGGGCTTTAGTCCAGGTGGAGGGAATTACAAACAGCTTCAAATACCCGTCAATGTTGGCACGAAACCTTCAAGCTTCTGCCAGAGAGAGGAGGATGAAGAGGAACTTCATCTTTCGGTGCTACAACCACCCAGAGACAGCTCTATCTGAGACTACACATCCTAATGAAACTGATAATAATAATAATGTGTGTTTGAGAATGATCTCACCAATCAATTACTTGATGCTATATTAACATCCCGAGTTCAAACAAAATCTACATTTCATTGTCAGGCAGAAAGTTGTGCGTCAGCCTCCAGTTCACAGACTCTGTGTACGATGAAGTAATTCACAGAGAATAATTCAATATTCTTTGGTGCTCAAAATGAAAATTCAAATGAGAGGTGGAAATAATATTGTGCATATATTGTTAGTGAGAATATTGACTTTATCTGTCAATAGAATAAGCTCTGCTTTATTGCCTTCGATATACCAGAGGGCCATATATTTGGTACTCCCCTCCATATATAAACAGGGAGCACATTATCTGGTCAGCGAGTGAATGAGCTTTAAATATTTAACCCGATCACTCTGTTGATCTAAATGCCATTTTCACGATTCACCGTCTCTGTGAGCTCTAAAAACCCTCTTTTTCCATCTCTTGTTAAGATTCCAGACCTGTCTCTGCAGTTTTCACCTAAAATACCCAGGAAGAGCATCCCGTCACCGGGGGGGTGATTTTTGATCCAGCACACACCACCTCGTCTGCAGTGTCACCTCATTGACAGCGAACAGAGGAAACAACTGAGCGGCTCGGGTGTATTTGTTGTCCAAACTACCCACTGAATCCCCAGTGACAGTCAGAGCTGCAGGCTCCTCTCAGGCTGTGGTTAGGGACTGTTTGGAAATGACTGTGTAGGGAGGCGGCTGAAAGGCAGGGATTTTATGGAGAGATGCTCCTCAGTGCTGTTGATATTTCTGAGTATTTCTGTTGACTTCCTGAGAAGACTTGAGTGCAGATTGTACTTTGGTACAGCAGGGCTTTAAGTTAAATACTCATCAGTCATCAACCTAAAATCCCTACATGATGATAAGCAGGTCTAAAAGATACTATTTGTCTATAGTAATGGGAGGAGAGGGGTGGGGGGTTGAAAATGGGTTACGCATGGATTGCTAAATAAATGAACTTAGGCAAGGTGTGCCCAAACAAGCAGGGGTGTGTCAAGACCATAGACTGTATATATTTTGGAAAATTTGGTCCCGCTTTCCACCAGGATATGGATTTGAGGCCAAAAAGCTCTCGGTAATTCCGTGTTTTATCTCCATTTCCTGAAACCAACATTGCGCAGTAGCATTGTACGCACTCCACCACTTGCGTAGTAGTGTTGTGCGCATTCGGTGGGAGAGTCGCAGAGAGTTGCTGTGATGATACTCAGCTCAAACAACGATCCCTTGGGTGAGCTACACAATCCTTGGACACTTATAGGCTGTAACAGGTGTCAATCATAGAAAACTTAAACCCCCAAATAACTTTTAAAAATGGAGCTGCACAGAAAAAAGAGGACTTGAGCACAAACCAGTCTTACTGTAACTACATGTCAACATCGCAAGCAAGGTGGGGGGAAAATGTATATTCTGTGTAATAAATTTCTAAAGTTTGTCCACAACTCTGTAAGCTTTGCTGACAGAGGCGGGATTTGTGACCTATACTGCAGCCTGTCGCCAGAGGGCGCTGTTCTCACGGTGGCTTTACCCAGCCAGTAGGCAGATGCTGTCCAATCTATATACAGTCTATGGTCCTTTTTTGAGTGAGGTGGCCTAACCCAAACAAATCACTGCCAGGGTGGCTTTTAGTTTGTGAGCCCACACACCTAAAATATTTATATATTTTTTCTTATTGCATCTGTGTTGAAATACAGACCATATGGTTCATTTTAACAGAAGCGTCTCTTAGGACAAGTTACAAAATTATGAAAAAAAAATGAAATACTAAAACGAACAAAATAAGTAAATACATGAATAAACAATCAGCCTTAAAAACTAATCCAAACCAAACTGAAATCAAAAATAAAAAGCCAAAAAGAAATAATAAACACTGATGGAAATTTCAAAACCAGTATAATCTTATAATGAAGCTGATTAACTATTTCTCCGGGATGTGGTTCTTCTTTTGGATTTATCTGCTTGTGTGTTTGCTGTGCTGTAAGCGTACTCTACAGTGTCTGTTAGCTGAGAAATAATTACTCAAATATCATACTGTGATTTCATTATCATGATAATATGGTATCATAGGGCCACTGGTGATTTCCAGCACCCAGTGGACTGCTGGATTTGTACTTCTACGTGTTTGTAAGTATAAGTAAAATTTCCATATGCATGATTTAATGAGGAGAATCAAGACCTGGCACAGCGACAGACATTACCCTGTAGCATTACTGCTGTGCTCGTTTTGTGACGGTTTGTTCTACTTTAATAACATATATTTTTCTTTTTTCTATGATGTAACTTCCCCACATTCCCCTGGATTCCCGTTCGACTCTGGCAGGATAATGTACAGACCTGAATCTCAGCTGTAAAACTGGAACACTCTCAGTTTCTTCCCTTGATGCCCAAGTCACGCAATGAAAGAGTGTGTGATCATACCCACAATGCCCTCTGTCTCCCTCTGCCTCTATTTCTCCATCCTGAATTCTCTTTCTTTACTCTCTCATCTCAATCAATAAGTGTAACTCTGCCCACAGAGAGACCCTTAGGCTCCTTCCTTCCATTGCACAGAGTTAAAGCCTCATGGTCTGTGTGTCCACACACACATTTACCACCAGGGTTTTCCCTGCTTTCTGCCTCCTGCCTTCCATCCCTTTGTTTCCCTCTCTTTGTACTCGTCTTTAAAAATACATATCCCTATCATCTTCACATGCTAGCTGCAGAGAGCCATCACAACAACCTCTGGCAGGTGCTTTGTTCCTTTCATTTTTTTTTTTGCAAAAGCACGCTCACTTTTCACCGCAAAGTCCTCTAAAGTGGTCATGCTGTCAGCGCTGATGTTTGCCGCTGCCTCTGGAAGCAACATTTTCAAGTTCTACAGTCGAGGTCGAACACCGAACTGATGAGGGGGATGCAGTGTTTTTGTTTCGAACTTTTGAGTAATTTTTAAGTATTTTCTCAAACGTGCTTTTTTTTCCCAGCTCATGGCCAGTTTGGGGGCAACTCCACCCGGTGCAGGAGGACATCAGATAATATAGAAGTATGTGGAAAAGTAAGCCAGCCTCTCAATGATTTACATTGAGAGGCTGATTTAAAAACATTTTCCTAAAGGCGAATGCTACTTTCCTTTTCTTACTTTGAGATCAGATTTTCACCTTATGATTGTCATGGCCATAGAAAATCAATTCATAAATAAAACTATATAAAACTTATAATCATAACTGCATCATTACCTCAAAAACAGTTGTTGTGTTTCATTTAATCATTTTTATGTCTTGAGTTTAGGTTCACACTGTGCTTTCGAAGTACACTAGTTCACACTGAACTGAGATAAAACAAAGGGGAAAAAGTAACCAGCAGAAATGACCAGTGCTATGAGCTCATTATTGGCACTGTATCAGAACTTTAAAACGGACATATTACAGCCTCAGTTTGATTATAAGATCATCCTGGTTTTATCACAGTGCTGACTTTTCCTCATGTATTTCTGGAAAAAGACCAAATTTGACTTTTATGGTGAAAAACTTAGTTGATGTTTTTTACACATTTAAAGCTCTTATGAGGGATTTATTGTCTGTTTTGATTTTAATGTAGTTGCGTTTGGCAGCAGGTGGGCAGCAGTCTAAGCAAGTCAACCCAGACATCTCTCCCCAGCAACATTTTCCAACATCTCGAGGTGTTCTCAAACCAGATGGGATTTATAATCCCTCCAGCAAGCTCTGGGTCCACCCTGAGGCCTAGAGTTGGACGTGCTGTGAACACATCTTCAGAGAGGCATTGGGGAACCCTGATGAAAAGACCGAACCACCTCAAGTTATCCTTTTTCTCTCTAAGCTCCTTCTAGATATCCAAGATCATGACCTCATCCTTACCTGATGCAAATAAAATCATTTGTGCCAGTGAAATATATGTTGAGTCAACGTTAAGAGACTGACAGAGCTGGATTCCTATCATGCAATGCTGATGCAGAAATTGCATCGAAATCCGCACCGTTGGTGTATGTCATCAATGGCTGGAAGTTCACCTCCTGGAAAATAGATGATAGACTGATAGTGACAATGTTTGGCAACCCTGAGCTACCACTGTGACTTGTATTTTCCTAAAAACAAGAATAAAAAGAAACTTACTTAAAGGAAAGTGAGCAAAGAGATCAGATTATCCACAACAAATCCTTACAACATAGTTAACCTCAACTGTGTTTGATGTAAACAGACTGAAACGGTGTGAATAAAACTCCTGCTCTTTTTGAATGAATTCACATCTTTGTGCTCTTGCATGGACACCATATGGATTTTTAAAGAAGTGACTTATTCAAATGAATTAAACATGAAAGCCAACACATATTACGCATCATACAAATCCTTTGTTTTTTGTTAACAGTAAAAACTTGACAAATTCATATCGTACATAACTGGAGCTTGCCCTCGAAGGACTTTGTCTTTTCAACAATGGAAGGTCAGAGGGAACCTAGAATTTCATCACTATATATTTCTAAATATTCACATTTTACACATTGAACCTTTTAAGGCTCATTCATTCGTGTTCTTTTCATCCGTATTTCTGCATGTATCCTTGAAGTTTACGGATACGGGCCAGAAAGAGCGGTATCACCAGAAACTGTGGCGGCAGTGTCGCTGCTGACACTACCCAATAAACATCTTTAAAGAGAAACAAAGAAGACAATGGCGGGGCTTTTTGAGGATCGTCAATTTCTCTCATCGGTACGACTAGAGAAAAGAGTTCTTGGCCCTCCAACCGCGAGGCATTTAGTGTCCTGACCGACCACCGTCTCCTCCGATGCTGCCTCCGTTTCTGTCTCCTATGCCAAATATACATTATCACCAGCTCCTCCACAGTCGCCATGTTTCTCTTTGTTTGTTGTTGTCAAACTTTTAACTCCAACCTGCCCCCTGGGGGATGTAATTGTTAACGTCCATGCCAACGTAAAGGACGCATGGAAGTATGTGTGGCTGTAACAGAACCATCGTTTGAAATGGATGCATACATTTCCATATGTATGGCGAGCATACATGAGCCTTAAGCCTTCAGCATAGATGTTTACCTAGCAACATCCACTCAAAAATACAGTAATTTAGATTAATAAAATACTGCAATAACATTTGATTTTCCTTGAACATAAACTTCATTCACAAAGAGTCATAACTTGTAAATGATGATAATGGAGCCAACAACTTCCAAACCTTGTCGGGGTAATCTGCTCTGAAGTATATGGTGGCTTTAGAAATAAGAAAAGAAGATGAGTGTTTTTACACAAAAGGATGAAATAAATGGTATATCTGTTCGGTAGTCAGGAGTCAGATCACGTGGCTCGGATCGGCACTTTCTCTAACTAAATTGCTTCATCTTTTAGGGCCTTAGCTTCAATTAGGACCTACTTTAAGAGGCTCCATTAGTACATCAGGCTAATTGGCTCTTTATATAGTGCTCCTACAGGGACAGAACCCCTGCTAACAAAGACCGTTTCCGGGTTGTTTCATCTCACATTCAGCATGGCAGCGGTCTTGCCAACAGCACTTGTCAAAGTATATCAAATCTGGAGCTGAGCGACGGGAGTCAGGGCAGACAGTAGCTTCAGGGCCTATGATTAATTTACACCTATATTCACTTAACTCACCCCCTGTCTTCTTTTCCATCATGGTCTCCATCAAATTGATGTTCTATCATAATCAACCAGCCTGAAATAACCTCTGTGAGCCATCTGTGATTACTCACGAACAATGAGGGGAGGCTTAGTGAGAAAAAAATAATGATCTGGTCAGCTCTGGCAATCTGTTACATGAGGAGGAAGTAAGGTTCAAAATTTCACAATGTCCTTTAGCACAGTTTTTCACACACACAGTTTCTTTCACTCTTTGGTTCTGGATCCTCGAATGACCGAGGAGCAGGTTGGCTATCTTTAAGGATTTTCTGGGCTTCTGTGTTTTTCTCAGAGGAGCTCAGAGGGTCAAAAGGTGTGGAGTGTTTTTTTCAGAACTTTCAGGGAGAAACCTCTAGGCTTCGGTGCACAGGTGTTGTGGAAATCTGTTTCAGGGATGCACCACAGCAACGCTCAAACTTTTGGGGGCATGAGTAGACATTTACCAGAAACTTGAACCTAAACTTTGACTCAAGAATCTGCTCTGCTTTACACTGCAGTGGTCTGATAGATCTTTACCTATATGTTGGCAAATTTAATGTGTGTTTTGGTTTGAAGAAGGGGCGAGATGTCAAAACGACAGTCCGAGCAGCACATTTCAGCGGAGTGGTGATGTGTCGCTTGCGAACGAACCAGTTCAAAGAGCTGACTCTTTAACGTGAACGATGGGAGCCTGCTGACCATAGGAAAAAAAATACAAGGCAGAATGACGGGATTTCTATCTGCTTTGTGTAGGAGAGTGGTTCGATAAGCAAGTCAGTGCATTCATAGGGTGGTTTCAGAGAGTTCCAAGGGTCTGTAAATGCAATGAAAACAACTGGCTGAAGCAATTTACTGATATTGGAAAATGTAATTTTTACTTGTGAATACTTCAGTAAAAAGGATGTATTGAATTATGTAAGAGGTATGTGTACACATACGAACATATCATAAGCCAAACAACACTAAATTTGGCAGAATTAGAAAATGTATTAGCGATAAAAATGAGGAGTGGTTTGGGATCGTGAGCTGAGCCAAAAGATATGGTTCACTAAAAAGAGCCGTAATTCCCATCACTATAGCTAAGTAGACTCTGGCCATGAGCTTCACTTTAACATCGAATGATTATGAAAATTTAATCTATCCAAATATAACTCCTTTTCTCACAATGTTGAATTTTGTGTAAAATGTCAATAAAAACAGACATGAATATTTTGCGTCTTCAAACTTTTGAGGAAGTGTCTGAAGGTGACTTTGGGCCCTTGCAGTGATTTCCACTACAAAGTCATGTCTGTTTTGAATGCAGTGCTGCCTCAAGATCATGACAATCTACTACATGTTTTGATCCTTTTACCTTTTGTGCAGAGAATTCTCCAGATGATAAAACTTGCACATGATCACTCAGATAAGAGATCTAAAGTTTATAAAAACCGTACATGTCTGTTTTGGTGAAAGTTCCACACAGAGGCCCAACCTCTCTGAACATGGGGTTGTGTATAGTGTAAAGCCAAAGGTATACAAGTTTGTAAAGGGGAAAGGTGTGATGAAAAGCTCATGCTCAGTGCTAATAAAGAAAATTAATAAGCTAAACATTTAGCTTCACACTGATGAGGGTCCATCAGGTAAAGAAAACAATCCTCTCAATAATATTCTGCTGATCTATTCAAACACTTCACTCTCTGAGTTAAGTAAAAACTCTGACCTGACTAACTGGGGAGCAGCGATGGAAGTCTAAAGAAGAATCTCAGCTCACTTTTATAGAAATGATAATCAGTCTCTGAGCTGCATATTGATCCAAGTATCACTTAAGAGTTCAATTAGACTGGTTGAGTGCGCTTAAAATAGCCAATTTATTCTGCAAATCAAAACAAGAGCAGTGTTTAAAGTATCCGCACAATTTATCCTCTTCATTTAAGCTGCCTTTGTAATTGTAAATCCATTTGCAGGCTGCTTCTTTCGTCGTTGAGCAGGGATCATTCACATGCTAATTGTCTGAAATTAGTGAAGCTTTTGAGTTTTTTCCACCCTTTTTTGAAGAGACCAGCTTGTTTTAAAAAGGATATGAGAATCTTAAGATTTCTAGATCTTCTTACGCAATATCATCCTGTCAGATCTTGACACAAGAAAGGTAATCATGATGGCTCCCTGCTTTGGTATTTATTCTTTCATGCAGGTGTGTCTTATCCCTCAAACCTGTTCCTTTGTTCATTTTATACATTTTACAAATCTAGATGGTGATATGCTGCACTTGATCTTTCACTTCAGCTTTTTAATCCTCACATAATGCTTTAATACATCATCTGAGTATTGGTATCCAGTGTTGTGCAGACTAAACTGGTGCGGTCACTTGTTAGTAACTTTTTCTCCTTTATTAGATTATAAATCTTTCAATAAGAGAAATCCTTGGAATCATTTTGGGTAAATAAGCCACTGTAAGTGCTAGTTTCATAGAAAAATCTCATCAACTTAAAATACCAAATCGCTAGACCATGTTGGTGGTGCCTCTGTGGGCAAAACTGCCATAGCTGTGGGTCTGAGGATTTTAAGATGCATCTACTCTGCCGCAGTTTTGGAGAGAGGTTCTTATGCTGCATTCAAGTTACCTTGGAAGTCAGATGTCGGGGCTGGAAATGACCTTACACCCAAGTTGATGGTGAAACAAGTCTGAAAACCAAAATAGGCTCTAGCTGTTAGAATTTTTAGTCGTTGTTAGCTGCTTTTAGCTGTTGTTAGCTGTTGTTAGCTATACCAGTTGAAAACAGCAAATAACACAGTATTTTAGTCTTACAAACATCATAGCACCGAGTCCACAGTTAGACGTTGGGCAGTACCACATATACCACTTGTTTAATTTCACAAAAACAAAACAGAAGTGCTGATAAATAATACATTACGAGAGCTTTCACTGTTACTCTTTACTGTTGATGCACTGCACTCCCATCTTGGATTATGATGTTGTCGCCAAGTCGGGGTTGGTGAGGATCTGATGAATTTCCAACTGGGAGCTCAGAAAATCCAACTTCCAAGTACAAATGGAACGCAGCATTCGTCTTCTGATTCTGAGATACACAGTCAGCACAACTTGCTCCAGCCTGCCTTGTCCCGCTGCTTCCTCCATAACCACATGTATTTTCACTGATGTCTGTGTCTTTGCTGCTGCCCTCCCTGCCTTGGCGTCTCATCGATGCACTTGAAAAAGTGGGGAGGTGTGCTCTGCCAGCTTCAGGCTTTGGTTTTCCATGTAAGTACATGAAAGAGCAGGGAGCTCTTCACTTTAGTCCAACTCAATAGTAGTCTCCATTTCCTTATGAATATGCCTCTCAGAGCACAATGAACTCATAAAGCAGTCTTATCTTATGTACACGTTTTTATTATAAGGAACACAAGATAGAGGAAATTTGGAAATATAATGACAGTCTTGCACCAAAAAGTGAAATCCCACTAAGTTGTCTTTATGTGCTGCAGCAGACAGGCTGTTAAAAAACTGGCATCCCTGTTCAACTTTGTCATGATTTAATATTTAAAAACAAAACAGTTGGAAAAGTTCCTGTCCCTCTAAGGAGACAATTATCTTAACGCCACGGAAGAACACAGAAACATGACTAAAGACATGTCTGTCATGGGTTTTCATGATCAAGGCTGGAAGTCTGAAAAGATTCACTTTTCTAATGTACAGCATCTTATGAGAGCATCTTTCCACTGAGCTTTGCTGCAGTTTGTTGTCCATTACTAACAGGAGGAAATATCCACTTAAAGGGACAACATGGATAAAAAATGCAGAACTCGGTGGATCTGACCCTTTTTTAACCCTCAAACAGGATTGTGTTGTATGTAACAAGCGTTTATGTTTCTCTTTACAGACACTTCTGTACACTCCACTCTGCTGTGTGTTTCTGACCTTGGGCAGAGCTTGTCTTTACAGTGCCTAGCTGCCAGCAGCTGGTCGGGGTGGATGTCTCGGATGTCAGCGCTGACTGATGGGCAGCTCTTAGTGAAACCCCCGCGGGGCCTCTCAGTGCTGCTCACACCCCGAGAGATGCACACAAGACTGATGGAAAGTCGGAGGTATGCCTATCGACCTGTCTGCCATCTACACACTCTGAACCTCCCACTGCCCCGCCCTCCACTACAGAGCCATTGTATGTTTGTGTCAATGTGAGTGTGCAGAGCCTTCTCTAAGTGTACCACCTACACTACTTTCTTACTTTGTCTGGCTGTCTGTGTTATTTTCAATGAGTGGGTAGAGTCTTTCTGAGCAAGAGTCATCGGAAAACTGCAGTTCCTTGTTCTGTGTCCACTTGGGGGCTATCTCCAAAAGCTAAAAAAATGCCAATAACAGCTCATACTAGAATCATTTTACAGTAGAGTCAGCTGGATTTACTCATGACTACTGATTGCATTTAAACCTGAAGCGGGGGTTAGTTTGACTGACCAATGGGCGCAATATGTCTGGTGACTGAAATATGGCCTCAGCTTAGAAATGAGGACTTGAGTTTGACTCTTGAACTTGAGTTGCACTTTACTCATAGATAACTTTCTCTTGTATTTTTGTCTTAATATTACTAGAGCTCAATCACATACCCTCTTAATTATAATCTTCCTTCTGGTGCACTTCCAGCCTCTTCATCTGCTGCTACCAAAGCACAGTATTTCTCACACATAGTATGCAACTAAGAAGGGTGATTAAGTATGTACTGACTGTTTTTACTCATTTTTCATCCACATAAGAGTGATCCAAGCGGGAAAGAGAGAGAGACACAGTTGATCCCAAAAGAAAAGATATACCTTCTCAGACCGCTGTTTTAAAAGTTTTGTACTGCTGGTCGCTGTTGCTCTTAGTTTTGAATTGCTATCACAACAGAGCCCATACACTGATTATCTACTGGAATAATGAAACATTCATGAGTTGTGTTCAAAAGTTTGTGATCCAGCTGATGAGTTTTTCTAAAAGATTGGAAATAAAAAGACAAAAAGGCACAAGAAGTCATGGTGCTGCTAAAAAAGGAGAGCTTTGAGTGTCAGGGGCAGATTTAGGGCTTACTCGGGATCCGGAGTACGCCAATTCCTACCGGATCTGTTTGTGAGACGAATTTCTTGGCAGCGGGCATCGCAAGAACTTACAAGAACCTGCGGATTCACGTGCAATCGCGCGATAACAAATTGTCTTTAGCCACAGAGGCTAACCATAGAAGCAGTAGATTGTCCTTCCAGAAGAGGAAATCTACTTCTAAACTTCTAAAATTAGCATGTCCTCATCCATGGTGTCATCGGGATGAAATGCTGTCTATAAACCTTTCACTTGTTGGTCCCCGCCCATTTGCATGGTGTGAAATACGATCTGCCTGAAACACAGAGTGTTTTGTTTTGAAAAGAAGACAGATATTTTATTTTGTGTCTGTGCCCGACTTCCTTTCCAGCACAGGTTAATCTGTGCTGAATTTATCCGACATGCTCCAGTGTCCAGAAAAAAATAGAACTCTTGCGATCAGCTGGGGAGTCCGGCGATTTGCAGTGGAACCGAAAGAAGCCAGTGGAAATTGACACATTAACTTGAATTGTTACAATCAGCTGCAATCGGCGGATATGGCCTTTTCGTAGCCGTTACGGATGCAGTGGAAATTGCTGGTTAGTCTGGGGTGCCTCAGCCCCAGGGGTGCCCTTGGGTTCGGGTTATTTTTGACTATGTTGTTGTTTCTTGACAGTATAAAAGATTTGACTGGGACTTCCTGGTGCACTCAGAGACTGAGAATTAACTTGGACTTGTGGCGAAAGACTTGAGACTTTACCTCTGTCCATCATCCATCCATCTGTCCAGCTGAACTCTACATGGTTGACTCTTGAGAGTAGCTGAGGGGTGAGGCCTCTACACACTTGGCCATCCGAAAGCATAAGTTATTGCCCATATTTTTCATGATTTCAACCTTGATTTATGTTCTTTGGTTGTTCTAATCGTTCAAATTTGGCTGAGTAGTTAATGAAGTGTTTGTTTTGTAGCGTGACAACCTCAGAAGTCATTTATTTTCCCACTTTACACAGTCTTTAATGATGCAGCCAGTGTTTTTGTAGGTCAGTTTAGACCTCAGATTTACAACCAAAGGAGTTAAAAGTTGTAACTACTTGATACGTGCCGCTCTGACATCTGCCAGTTTGCACCTGTCCGACCAGATGAGATGATGTCTACTTTCTGTCTGTGGTGGATGTAGCCTAAGGCATAGAGCTGGAGGTCTGGAGTGTTTTTTTTTTTTTCTCTCTCTCTTTTTCTTTGACTAAAAGATGGCTGAGCTGCACACCATCACACACATACACTGCACCACAGCCAGAGAGGCAGGATCAAGCAGAAACATCAAGTTTCAAACTGAATCCTGAACCTTTCTGCTGGGTTTTTTGCAGATATGATATTGTTAAAAAAGTGCTGGAAAACATTCACAATATGGATTAAAAAAAAGTTTGATTCCTCTGCTCTCCATATGCCAGGCCTAATTTGCCTGACCAATGGTTCAGCTCCACCAGTGTTTGGTCAACAAATACAACACCGCGCCATCGCTGCACTAATTAACCAGAAAACTTTGAATTCAGACACATGCTACCTTTCAGATCAGAAGAAAGTTTGGATTTGACTCCACCTGCTGTTTTCACCTTAACATGATTGGCTTTAAAAAAACAAGTGCGGTCTCATTCACAGCAGGCCAATGGCAGCTTCTTGAGCTGGGCTGTGGCCAACTCTGAAATCCACAGTTGGTTGAGACGTGCAGGTCAGTTTATGCAAACAACACGCAAATGAAGAGATGAGCTGACAAATGCAGCTCATTACTGAGTAATTTAGATTGCTGCAAAAGCATATGGTTGCTCTGACATAATAGGATCTAAAAGACAATGACAGCACCGAGGTGGATTTCTGGCCAGGTTTGGCCTCTGGCGCCCTGGGACTGATACTGCTTAATAGACTCTGAGACTGTTTTGTTATGATGTCAAGCTCAGAATGAAAAACTATGGTGTTCTGGGTTGTAAGTCCTGTATTTCACGGCTTCCTGATTAATAATCAGCCAGACAGACTATAGATAAAGATGATCAGGAGATAGATCAGGTTATTCTTTGGGCTAAAATACACAGTTGATAACTCAATGAGCTGAGGATTAAAATTGTGATAAATTTTCTTGAGGCATTGTATAAGAGATAGAATTGGGTAATTATCAGCGCGGCTACTCCCAAGTTAGAAATTAATGGTTCAGGGGTTAACTGTGATTGAAAAAAGTCGGTTTGACAGTCCTAAGGTTGACTTGAGTTTGTTTTGATCAGGGAGGTTGTGTAAATAAGTGTCATTAACAGATTCCTGAAGTTAGTGACTCAAATAGTCATGTTGATAATAATGATTATAATAGGTAGAGCTGTGTGTCATCTGCATAAGAGTGGAAGTTTAGACCATGTTGCTGGATGATCTGACATAGGGGAAGCATGTAGATACTGAAGAGGAGGGGTCCAAGTACAGAGCCTTGAGGGACACCGTGCTGATTGTTAATTGCACGATCTGATATTCTGTATTGGCCTTTATTGGATTATTGAAAATCACATTAACAATATTCCGATTTGTTCAGTGTATGTTTACAGTATAATCTGGTTTCTTCTGTTTTATTCAATCTCCACAAAACATGACAAGCAGCAAAGGGGAGGAGGGTTTGAAAGAAGGTTCTTGCCAAGTCAAAGGATCTGAATCACCAAAAGGAGTCGCTGACATTAGCAAAAGCCAATGGCAAAGCTTATCTTGGTAAGTATCATAGTCAACTAAAATAAAACCCAAAGATAAAAAAAAGACAGGTGATTAACTCACAGCATCGAGGCCATTAATGCAGCCAAAGTACGACAATCTGGTATCATCAGTAAATGCACTTATCTAATATCATAGTTTATATGCCTCTTTAAACTAAACTTGCTTCGAGTAAACTCCGTGATAAAATCCTTAAAGTTATAGTTCCTGTGAAACTTCTGAGAGAACTTAATGTTCTTGTTCTTATAAGAAGAGACTTCCTCTGACATTCTCCGCTCGTCTCCGGAGACTATCAGTGTCCAGCGTCTGTCGGCAGAAAGATAACACTCTGCGGCTGTTCTGGTTTGGTAAAGGCTGCTGATGCATCACTTCATGTTCCCTGCTTGTCTGTGAATTATACATTAATGGATGAGGTGGCTATTATCTTCATGCATGTCTGATCTCTGATACTCAGAAAAAAATCACACAACAAAATGCTCCGCCTGTTTGTCTATCACACACCCACCTCTAACCTTTTCACCTCCCCAAAAATCTCTCCTTGTTCCTAATCCAGGAGCCCGGTGTTACTCCTGTTCATATGCAGCTAAATTTAAATCTAAACTCTTTCTGTTTCTGCCTGTGCCTCTGCCGCTTCCTCATCCTCTTATCCCACATCACCTCCCCTCTTAGCTCAAGAATCATCTCCGGCAACTTGTAACTCTTCCAGAAACCCCGCTGAGCCACTCCCCGGGCTACATGCATAAAAGTCTGTGTAGATTCAAGACGAAAGACTGTGTGGGAACAAGAGGCAGAAACATAAATACTGACTCTGTTTTGTGAAGTTAATAAAGTACACATGCTTCTGTTTTATCAGTCTCAGTTATATTAAAACTGGCTGCAGTTGAAAGGCTCATCCAGTCAGCTATAAATAAAGGGAAAAAAAGTGACAAGGGCCAAATTTCAGAATATATTTTTCAATTTTTCATACCGAGTTTTATTTTATATCCAACCATAACCAAGAAATACTTTATATCATATCTTAAGAACAAAATGTGTGACAGAGGGTGATGTCTACTCCAATGGTATGATGTTTAGAAGTTACCATGAAACAGATTGTTCCAATCCATCCCACTCAGAAGAAATGTTCATTCTCTCCCACAGGGTTGGTTAATGTTTTGTTGTTGGCTGATCCAACAGTTTCTTCTTGGTTGGTGTAAAGCTTTTTTATCTTTGCATGTCCATTTCATGTGACGTGATGGGGTTTCCACCTCTGGTGTTGCTGGAGCGAAGCCAAACCAGCCTGTAGGTGACATAAATTTTTCACTGGAAACCGTAAAGAAACTCAAATGTCTTGATCATAAAGACACAAGCAAAACAACACATCTCTGGGGCAAGCAGATGAGAACTACATTTGTAGCACATTATTTATGATGACACAGTGACATTAGTTTTTAACATATTTAAGCACCTTTACTTCAGTCTCCATCCTCTTTCTGTCTGAGTCATTGACTTTGAATCATCATGCCCTTTACAATCACTAATATAGTCTTTTCTTGGAGTCCCTTAGCGCCATCTTGACGTAGGTTCTTCTACACTGCTGCTGTGTACATTTTGCTACCGTGGACCTGCCTGCTCTCCAGCTACATCTACCTCTACTCTGTCCATCTTTCTCTCTCTCTCTCTCTCTCTCTCTCTCTCTCTCTCTCTCTCTCCCCTCTTTATACTCAGCTCAGTCTCAGCAGATGACTGTCTAACATGGGTCTGGTTCTGTCTGTTAAAGGAAGTTCTTCCTTTCTACTGTAAAGTGTTTCACTCATGTGGTTGAAAATAGGATGGGAGTAGGTCTAATCCAATCTTTACCTTGGTTTTTTGTACATAGATTATTGGCTCTTGGGATAACACTTGTGAATTGGCGCTTTAAAAATAAAGATTGATTTGACTGGCGGAACAACTTTACATATGCCATAATGGTTCATCTGATCAATCAATCGATCAATCAATCAAATTTTATCTATATAGCACCAATTCACAACTGTCGTGAGCAGGTCTAGACCACGCTTATTGTTTGATGAATTATCAAGACCCAACCTAAGATGGGATTTGGCCCATCTCATCTAACATGAGTAACAGTGGCAAGAAAAAACTTCCTTTTAACAGGCAGAAACCTTGAGCAGGACCAGACTCATGCCAGACAGCCACCAGGGAGGGTCATATTTATGAAATCTTTATCAATCCTTTGAACAAGATTTCGTCTTCTCTAGATTTTACATGTATGATATCAGTCCCTAGTTTGACACACTTGCACAAAGATTCCTGTGATAGCTCTTATAGCTTGTTGAAGGGTGGAGTCATTAAACCATGAAACAGGAAGTTGATTTAATTCCTTCGTATATTATTCCATCGACTTCAAATTTGATATAATCAGGTTCAACCCTGTACACAGGTTAATGCTAACTTCTTGACTCGTAATAGCTCAGCCAGTCTCCTCCTCAGCGTATCTACATATATATTTTAGTCGTGGTCATGATGCCAGTTATAGGTCCATCTTATATGGATCCATATTTCCTTCACATTAGCTTGCTTTCACACATCCTGACAGTCTTTTGAAGATGTCTCTATCTACATTCGATCTGTGGGTTCAGTGTAATCAAACAGACATGAATATACACACAGAAACAAGGTAGAGAGACCCCAAAGTGTTGTTTGTTTCAGGCTGTAAACATTCGTATTTCTCCTGTAAAAATGGACATTTTCACTTCAGCTCCACAGGGATCCCAGTGGATTCAAGTGAACACTCAGCGTGGACTCAAGTCAGCCCCCGGGTCTGGCCAGTTTCCTGCAGCAACCTCAACTGTCTTTTTTGGATGCAATATATTTTTTAACTCCCTCTGGACATCTTAGGATTGCTTCCTATCTCCAACGCCTGGCCTGGCCACCTGCAAAGGAAGCTGGCTTTCAAGCATGCCTACACAATCCCATTCTCCCTTAAAATCTGACAAACATGTATGTAAAACAGAAGAAGCATACAAACCCTGATACTTAAATGAATGACTTGGAAAATGTGTACTGCTGACATATCTACTGTATTGTAGTGTTATGAATGCTTTCTGCATGGCCTCTATGTGTGTGTGTGTATTTACACCTCTACCCTCTGGTGCATTTTCAAAATCAGGATTCAACGTTCCCCTCTCCTGTGTGTACCTCTCCTGCTATCTCCCTTCTTCAATCTGTACCCGAGGGGGAGCATGTGATGTAAGAGGAGCACAGCCAGAATACTGATATGTGTGGTAGAAAACCTTAGTGTGACAACCCATAATACCTCTCCCTTATTTGTAATAACGAAACATCTTGGCAGACAGTGACAGCAGATGATGATGATGCACAAAGCTGAAATTGCTGTTAAAGTATAATGAGATGCATAAAGTGTCCCAAGAGTTATAGATTATAAATGTGTGTTATCTATTGCAGTATGGTGCAGTAACATTGAGATATTTTATCATGGGGTTAGGACTCAAAGAAGCAAGTGACTGTTTTTATATCATGTCTAATAGACTTTGAGTGTTGCAGCAGGCCGAGGGTCACATCACGGACATAGAGGCAGTATAATACAGATCACAGGATTAATAAAACTGTGCTGTTATAAGTGAGTTAACTTTGCCATAAATTCAACATTATCTCTTTTGAAGCCTGTAACCTCATCCTCACAAACTGGACCTAAAGGTACTATAAGGAGTTTTTAACTGGTTGTCTGAGCAGTCATTCACTAGGATTGAAAAATTTCACGGTCCAAATCCACTTTTAAAAACAAAAGTTTACAAAGTGCTTTGACAACAGTTGCAAAGCACAGAACATCAGTATAAAATCAAATAACCAAAGCTCAGTTAAAAACAAGGCCACCCAATTAAAGGCCAATTTCATTTCACATAAGAAACCCAGTGTGGTGAGACGCCTCCTCCATCTTGTTTTATTTTGGCTGGACTTCCTGTGTTTGCCTGGTTTGGCTTTACTCTTTTTCAGGGCTTCCTCCCCTCCCCCGACGCTGAGGCTGAGTGAGACTACACACCTGCTCCACATCTCCAATCAAGGCACTTTAAGAAGCCTGCAGCCCTCAGCCTCATTGCTGAGTATTGTCTACCCTTCCTAGCGGTAAAGACGCGTCTCCTGGCCAACCTCGTTTGTATCAGTATCAGAACTTTGCTCCTCATGACTCTTTTCATGTTCAATAACTCCCATCTCCTCTGGTTTTTCCTGCAGTCAGCCTACCGGACATCCTCGTTTGCATTTACAACCCTTTTGTTGGACATTAAAAGTCTCTTTAAGTTGATCTCAGTTTCAGTGTCTGCTTCTGGGTCCTCACCACGAACCAGCCACACTACACCCAGGCAATACAAGAACCCTACAACATAAAAGTGGAATTATTTTGATAAGAGCATTCTATAATTTAGTCAATTTATTTTTTTTTTATTTTGTTGAAATAGAAGTTCCTGACAAAGTCAAAAAGTCTTGATGCAAAAAAGCTTATTTAAGTGGTTTTTTAAAGCATTTAAAATTAAAAACAGGTCGGTGCAGACCCTAACACAGGAGGAGGGTTCAAGGGATATTCCAGTGTAAGTTCAAGCCATGGTCAAACACATCATAACACTTTGTTAAACAATCCCCCCGAGAGATGAATTTTGCCCACTGCTTACTTCTCTAGTTATATCAACTTCAGCAACGACCGCACGATAGCAATACACAGCAGTCTACGTCTCTACGTGCAAACCTGAGCCAAAAAGCCACTCTATGGCCACAAATAATGCTCAGAGCAGCAGCTAACTTCATCAACAGTACATATAGGGTCCCAGGTTTGTGGGGGGAGCCCTGATAGGTCGAACAGCGAGTGCAGCAGCTTAAACTTACACCAGAATATCCCTTTGACTGAGGCCTAATGAGACAATAATAACTCAAAATAGATTTAAAACATTGTATCCTTGAGTAGTCATACCACTGCAAGTATGATCCATAGAATTAGGAGCCATCTGTGTCACATAAGATCACTGATGTCCATGCTGTAAATTATTTATCTCCACTGTGAGGGTTGCTGTGTGCTCTGTGGTCCACTCTGTTGTTTGTTGTTTTCACCTGGTAAGAAGGTGGATGTTGTGCGTCAGCTCTGGCTGCTACACGTGAAGAGCCTTTTGGAAACCTGTGGCTGAAAGCTCATAACAAGCTATTTTGAATTGCAGGTGTACTAAATAAACAGCTCAATCTTTTTCCTTGCTGTAAGAAGGGGTTAAGAAAAAAAAAACCCGCTCCTGTTCAGTTGTCAAGAATGAGTTTGGAAAGATGTCAAAGGATGTTTGCAAAAAAATCTCTTTTTACAAAAATTTTCATTCATTCAGTCGTCCCTCATCTAATCCCAAGGAGTCATCAAGGGCATGCCCCCATTTGCAACAACATTAAGAGCACGATTAATGAGTACATATTTAATTAAACACCAACTTAAAAACAGGGATTATTCATAATTATTTGTGTCAGAAAATGCCATGAATGCTGTCGGTGCAGGATTTCAGCTACTCAACAGTTCAGGTCTTCATTGTTGTATATTTTTTTCTTTTTTTCATAGAATTTTTTCTATGATGTGCCAAATGTTTTAATGGGCGACAAGTGAAGCACACAAACTTTCTTGCAGTTTTATCCTGCATTTGTGAATGGAGATGTGAACTATATTCACAGGATATGTATTTGAGCCCATGCTTTGATTTCCACCACAAAATTTTCCCTCTACAAAGTCTGTTTTTGATGGACTTCAACCAGAAGGCATGATATCACAACCATCTAGCACACCTGGTTTCCAGCTCTAACACTTTTGAACATAATTTTTTTAATTCTAGATTCTTTCAATTAAATTACATAAATCCACTGATAATTAACAGTATTCTAAAAATGTGAAACTATTTCCTCCCAGTTTCCCACAGTGTTAGACTTCTATTTTTATCACCAAGAGACTCAGCTTCTCTGAATGCCTTCTTCATACCCAGTCATGTTACTAACCTGTTCGGATAAATTATAATTATTGGGAGATCATTATTCCAGGTCTTTTTTTTAAGAATCAAACAACTTTCTCTGTGTTTTGCTGTTACTGTACCAACATTTGTTAAATGTGTCAATCAAAAGGAATGGAAACAGCCAGAAGAAAAAAACTTTTTAGGACATTTTCTTTTTGTAACTTCGACTTTTTTTCCCCCTCAGGATACCAAGTTTAAACTCAGAAAGAAACAGTTTTTAACTTTGAACTCAGGATTTTCAGATTAAAGCTGGATTTTGACTTTAAAGTCATAAAACTTAAAATAAGGCCAGAATCACGACTTAGAAGTTAAAAAAAATAAAAGTTTGACTTTTATCTCAGAATAATAAGAACGAGATTTAGTGTTTAAAAAATGTTCAATAACCTTTATTTCTGTGGCCCTGTAATTGATTAATGGCTTTTAAATGATTTATTAATGATCACACTCAGTTTCTTTTAACATTTAACACCTTTTAGAACTGGGGTTGTACAAAATGGGGTAAATAAAAAGGACAGTAAATATTTCCAACATGTCTGCTGTAGCGGCACGTTAACACCAGCTCCCCTCGTTTGCACTGTGTAGCCAATGGAGGATAGAAATCTAAGGCTGGTTAATGTAATAGCTCACTTTAGTTGATTAATCCCTCACTTCATCAAAGGAATTACCTCCTGATTAATTCTGCTCTTCATCTCTTGACCTCGGTGAGCAGTCAGCGCAGGGATGACGTCTGGACAAGTGGAACTTTCTGTGTTTTCTCTCCAGTGCTCGAGCTTCCATTACATTACCTCCTGAGAGCCTACTTTCTCATCTGTGAAGAGTCCCATCTTTATCTAACCCCCAGGCTGGAGAGATGGGATGTTTTTCTTTTTGGAGGAGAAGGGCGGAGGCAGTTTTCAACCTAAAAGACAGTTTCCACTGTAATTCACTGTGAAGATAGTAATCAGAAGTGTCTCCAGGTATTTACTCAGACTGCTTTTTTTTGTATCAGCGCAGGACCTCCCCAAACTGACGCTGACAGTGTTTATCTAAAATTCAATCTTTCTGAACTGTAAAGCACTGAATTCGTTGCCCTCGTCTCAATGAGCAGGGCACTGAGGGTCAAAATCAATAACAACTTACAAGCTGCCATGCACCTGAGAGTGGGGTTTTGGAGCCTGCAGGGGGGCAGCCGTGGAAGTGCATGGTGTCTGGAAGTGTCCGAGGACACATGGGTGGCTGCTCTTATCTTGTCGCTGCTGGGTCAGAATCAAAGATTAGATGTGACAACAATCTGAGTAAAATACAAGGAGCTCTCCTGAGATGTGATGGTGTGTCTTTTGTGGTTTACCCTGTACTTGGACCACTTCACTGACCAGCCTCCTATTCTGTTTAATCTACAATTTCATCAGGGCAGAATTAACAAATATCTTGTTCAGATCTTCTTATTTGATTCAGAGATGAGCAACCACAGCCACCTTATGAAACAAATGAGACGGTGTGAGAAAGGTCCAATCCCAATCCGACCCCTACAAACTCACCCTACACACTCTCCCTGCGTTTGCCCGTCTCTGTGAAGGCTCCACCATTTTAAAGGCCACCCTAAACCACAGAGAGTGACCGTTCAGCCCTTAAATAGCGAGTCTGCACCGGTGGACACTTACGGCGGGATTTGCAGGTAGTATGCCGGCAAAAATTGGAACAGGAGGAAACAACATACAAACCTTTGTCGTCATTGTTTCCTTCCGCACATCTGGGTCCAGGTCGTGGAGGCAGCAGCTTCCAGACGGCCCTCACATCAGCCACTAACACCAGCTCCTCTGGAAGGACTCCCAGGCCAAGCGAGAGATATAATGCCTCCACCTGGTCCTGGGCCGGCCACGAGGTCTCCTCCTGGTTCTGTTCATAACCTTTATGGACCGAATTTCTAGGGACAGCCGGGGGTTCGGGGGTGTCCAGTTCAGCAGGCAGAGGATCATGTCGCTGCTTTTTGTGGATGATGTAGTTCTTCTAGCTTCATCGAGCAGTGACCTTCAGCTCTTCCTGGGGCGGTTCGCGGCCGAGTGTGAAGCGGCTGGTAGCGGAAAAAGGTAGATTGCCTTCTCCGGGTAGGAGGGGGGTCCTGCCTCAAGCGGAGGAGTTCAAGTATGTTGGGATCTTGTTCATGAGTAAGGGTAGGATGGAGATTGACAGGCGGTTCAGAGCGGCGTCAGCAGCGATGCGAACGCTTAACCGATCTGTCGTAGGGAAGAAAGAGCTGAGCTGTAAGGTGAGACTCTTGATTTACCAGTCGATCTACGTGCCGACTCTCACCTATGATCATGACCTTTGGGTAATGACCGAAAGAACAAGATCGCGGATACAAGCAGCCAAAATGGGTTTCCTCCACAGGGTGGCCGTGCTCAGCCTTAGAGATAGGGCAAGGAGCTCGGACACTCGGGGAGGTGCTCAGAGTAGAACTGCTGCTCCTCCACGTCGAGAAGAGTCAGCTGAGGTGGCTCAGGCATAAGGTTAGGATGCCTTCTGGACGCCTCCTGTTAGAGGTGTTCCCGGCATGTCCCAAAAACCTTTGTCTTACTGACAAAATAAATCTAAAAAGACTTGGTTTGGAAAGATTAAACGAAACTCAGAAATCTTACTCTGTGCTGAGGTTTGATTTGATTGTGCAGGGGTTCAATGTTGTGTTGAATCACTAACAATCAGAAGTAGCTATAATTTAGCTCCTGTCACTGTGATGGTTGCTGGATTTTTGATTTTACTGGGACAATGAAAAAAACAAGGCAGCCAGTGCGGTTTAGATCTGTACATGATGCCCGTTTACTGAGAAAAGAAACTCTGCCATGCACAGGATGTGTCTTTGTGTTGCTATGGCGATGATTCTCATCATTTTCTGGTGGAGTGAGGAGGGTGTCCCATACCTGCTTGTCTTGTTTATACCCTCCCATTTCAATTGAGGCGCACTCCACAGCTGTGAGTGTAACTTCATTACAAGTGACACTGGGTAGTAAAGGGCGAGTGTGTAGGGGGCGGTCTGGGATCAGGTCAAGGTGTGGCAAGTATCTACCAAGAGGTGTCTTCACAAAACACCTGTGCAAGTTTTGAGGGTAGACATGAACACAACAGCTGCATTTTCACCTCAATGCTACGATGTTATATATATTTTTAATTTTCCTGCTAGCTCCTCTGGTAAAATGAGGTGAGCTTTTGTGAGAACCAGCAGGTTCACCTGGAAAATTCATCACATATAAGTAGGCAGGCGGTGACATAAAGAGCATGTAGCCTGTGTGATATGTAATTTGCTTGCCACTCACTCTTTTCATTCGTTGATATTTGAACAGGAATCCTGAAGTTCAATTCTGTATCTGTCAA